TCATTGGGAAGTCGAGACGGGACCCAATTGGGAGAGACTTATCGGACCGATGGTGAAGACATAGCTTCTATTGAGTTTGAAGAGTGGAATAACCCAGAAACTGATGATTTGTTATGGTTCGACTATATGCAACTCATTGTGGATGTAGTTGAAAATAAGGAAGGTGGTGATCTGAACTCAATGCTGGGGCGGGTGGAGTTGGTCTCACAGTGTAGATAACAAGGTTGAGGTAATTGCACTGTATTTTCATGACAGTCCAGCAGACTACCTAGACGAGCAACTATAGGTAAGACTTGAGATCCTTACATAGGTACCTAGCATATTGGACAAGTATGGTAGGTACTAATATAATGTTGCTACAAAGTTGGAATAAATTACGATTCAAAGTGTCTTTTCAACACACTTAAAGTCGTGGAGTCATGCCTAGGCTAAACTTGGACAGCTGAGAAGTGCCCAACCATGGCTCGGTTCAGTTGAAACGAACTTCAATGTAAATGAAGAATAAAAGAAAGAAAATATACAACAGTAAGCATAAACTCTAACGCAACTAACTTGGCTGTCTTTCTGCCAGTGATGTTCCAAGCTATTGCTAAGTTAGTCACTACCTATCTCAGTTGAGGTGCACATCGATTTCCAATTAACAGAGACCCGCTTGGTGCCTGGATTCCTGTGCGCACCAATCAACACACGCCCCTCATAATTTAGCACGCCCTGTAGCCTAGGTAGACTCGTCTTTCATCTTCACTTCTTCGACGTCATTACAGGCTATTATTTGCGTGCAAAGGCGACTTCAACTTTTCGCAACTGGTTGATATTATCATCTCCTCATCTTCCTCTCCAGGATTAAAGCCTCAGATTAATCTTCAGATCGCTAAGGTCTTTCAACGAAGCTAGAAGCGCTCAACCAAGTGCGACGTAATCCATAGAAATTGTCTCCATTCTCATTCACGCACATTTTCAACCTCCTGTCATTACCCAGAAGTTTCAACCCGTCTCAGGCTTTCACTGAATCATGAGGATGCGGACTCATCAGTGCTAACTCACCATACCCGGATATCCTCTCATTTTGTAAAGCGCAGAGCCGATTACTCGATTTCTCCTTACCCGAGAGCACAAGAAGTGCAGCTTTGTGAACTCTGCAACCAGCACGTCCATCACCATGGCATCTGAAGATACGGTCTCGGATAATCGAGAAGTCGAAAAAGCAGCGCTTCTTGATCGAATGGTTGCTGCTGCACAACAAAGCGCATCTCAGGATAAGGAAGACAGTGAAGAGCAACCCAACACCGAAGGTCTCAATGAAGAAGATGCGCTGCGGAATTTGACCGGCACCGTGAGAGACCAGAACGACCTGGAACGCGACATCACACTTCAAGCCAATGCTGCACTTAACGAAGCCGAGGATAAGAAGGATCAAAACCGCATCGAAAAGCTGGAAGCCACCAAGCATCGGCTTCAGCTTCAGCTGGACAAAGAGAAGAAACGCCTCGAGAAAATTGCTCACAGCAATGTCTACCAAACCCGAAACATCCAGAAGGAAATCGCAAAACTCGATGAAGAGATTAGACAAGTGAGCAATGACATATCCGATTTCCAGGCACGAATAAAGAAGCGTCATGAAGAAAGCTCTGTGGACGATTCTGCCAAGTCCAAATCTACTAGGCTTCCAGGTGAAAGTCACCGTGACTTTCTGATTCGAACTGGAAAGATTACGCCATTTGCCAAGATTGGAGGACCACGACCTGCAGGAATTCAAGGCCAACTCGCTGATACGATCCTGGATGCAGAAGAAGAGGCAGCAGCTGAACAACTTGGAGGAGAGCTTGAAGGGCCTGCTTCGCATCAACGACTTCGCAGACCTGGATTTGCTGATGAGCTTGATTCGGAACCCGAACCCGCTCAACCTGCCCCAGCTGTTGAGAGTGAGTTCTCGCTGAGGCCAAGGAAAAAACGTCGCGTTCAAAAGGAGCGTAGCCCGTCTGCGGATTTTGAACCCGGAGCATCCGGTTCTGAATCTCACGATGATGATGTCTGGAAGCAAGGGAACGAGGACGATCTAATTAGAGAACAACGCCGCCAGAACAAAGCCAAGGCTAAGGCCGCCGATCAAGAGCAGATCGATCTTAGTAAGATCGACGATGGCAATGAAGCCCACTTCAAGGCCCGTTTGAATGACTGGGTGATTCGGAGAAGTCGCGCACGGAGGGCTCGGAAGCAAGCAGTCGACGTGTCTGCTGATGCAGGAGAGAGTGATGAAGAAGAAGAGGAATGGTTCAAACCGGCCCCTGACTTTCCCGACTACAGCTTTGGTGACGATTTGAAACTACCTGGAGATATTCACCCGTCGCTATTCGGATACCAAAAAACAGGTGTACAATGGCTTGCCGAACTTTATAAGCAGAACGTCGGAGGCATCATTGGTGATGAGATGGGCCTGGGGAAAACTGTACAGCTTATTGCATTCATCGCAGCTCTCCACTACAGCAAAAAGCTACGCCGTCCTGTCATTGTTGTTGCGCCTGCTACACTTCTGCGACAATGGGTGAGTGAATTTCATCGCTGGTGGCCACCACTTCGCGTGTCTATCTTGCACGCTTCTGGTAGTGGTATGATGAACCCCAAGTTCGAAGACGAGTACGATCTGGATCATTTCCGACCCTTGGCCACCAAGTCAGAAAAGGCTGCTCAAAGAATCGTCGACGGAGTCGTCAAGAGTGGGCATGTCTTGGTAACGACGTACGCTGGCCTCCAAACGTACGCCGAGACTTTGCTGCCAGTTCAATGGGACTATGCAGTTTTGGACGAAGGACACAAAATTCGTAACCCAAACGCCGAAATTACTGTTACTTGCAAAGAACTCAACACACCGAATCGTGTTATTCTCTCGGGAACACCAGTCCAGAATAACTTGACCGAACTGTGGTCACTCTTCGACTTTATCTACCCTATGCGATTGGGGACCCTCGTCAATTTCAGAGCCCAATTCGAGATCCCGATTCGTCAAGGTGGTTATGCCAACGCATCTAATCTGCAGGTCATGACAGCAGAGAAATGCGCAGAAGCATTGAAAGAAACAATCGGAGAATATCTACTTCAGCGTTTGAAGGTCGATGTCGCAGCCGATCTCCCGGAAAAGACAGAGCAAGTGTTGTTTTGCAAATTGACTGATGGCCAGCATAAGGCGTATGAGACTTTCATTAAATCGGACGAGGTCTCGGCCATCTTGAATCGAAGGCGACAATCACTTTATGGCATTGACATATTGCGCAAAATCTGCAACCACCCAGATCTGCTCGACAAGACTCTTGCAAAGAAAGCTGGCTACGATTTTGGGAACCCCAAGCTATCTGCGAAACTGCAGCTCACAAAAGATCTGCTACAAAAGGTCATGATTCCCAATGGACACAAGACGCTCCTCTTCTCACAAGGTAAACAAATGCTGAACATTATCGAGAAGTGCATCAGCGAATGTGGAATCTCTTATGTGCGAATGGATGGAGAGACACCCGTCGACCAGCGCCAACCAATGATCGACAGATTCAATGAAAGCCCAGATATCCACGTCTTCCTTATGACAACTCGTACCGGAGGATTGGGAACTAATCTTACGGGTGCTGATCGAATCATAATCTTTGACCCTGACTGGAATCCTTCAACAGACCTCCAAGCTCGAGAAAGAGCATGGAGACTCGGTCAGAAGAAGCCGGTAAAAATCTACAGACTGATGACGGAAGGGACCATCGAAGAGAAGATATATCATCGCCAAATTTTCAAGCAGTTCATGACGAACAAAGTTCTGAAGGATCCAAAGCAGCGTAGCAGTTATGACCTGTCAGACCTCTACGATCTCTTCAGTTACAACACAGGGGAAGATGCGAGTGCCAACCGAAGCGAGCTCTTCAAAAAAGCAGAAGTTGAACTTCCTTCCGGCGATGGCGAACAGGGGCAAACGTCAGAACCAGCCCAGAATGTTGCCGGCGGGGCAGATGTGGAGAGTAAAGAGCTCCGGCAGATGGGCCTTGTAGCTGCGATGGAAGACTTCCGAGAAGACAAGTCTGCTCACGACGAAAAGCGCATGCTGGACGGTATCTTCGCCAAGTCAGTCAACAATGCTTACGACCATGAGGCTATTGTGAACGGGCCCCAAAAAGCAAAGGCGGATATATCTGTTCTGCAACAAGAAGCAAATATGGTAGCCCGCCAGGCTGCAGCACACCTTCGCCAAGCTGGCGCAGAAGCGAGAAGAGTTCCCATAGGCACTGTTACATGGACTGGCGAGGTCGGGCAGGCTGGCCGTCCTGGGGCTAACCGTCGCCGTGGAGGGCCAAGCTCCGCGGCCATCATGAGTAATCTGGCAGACCGTCAAGGTCTTGACACAGGGAGTGGGGGAAGTTCTCGTTCAGGAACTCCTGGTGCAGACAAGAATTTAAAGTCTAAAGACTTTGTGGCCATGATCAAAACATTCATCAACCGCCACAACGGTCGAGTCCCCAGCAAGATGTTAGTAGACCACTTCAACCCCTACTGTCCCGGCAAGAAGCAGAGCGACGAGTTCAAAGCAGCTTTAGACAAAGTTGCAGTATTGAACAAGACTGGAGGCGCCGGTAGAGGAATCTGGACACTCAAGCCAGGTGTAAAATAACAGGGATGAAAAAGGCATGATTTGGCGAGGAGTTCAGGAGGCATCAAGATCACATATAGTAGACATAGCGGCTTATAAATGTATACAATTGCTTTTTTGTCTCACGTCATCATACATCGTCAAGCGTACAGCTGAAAGGTATCACATCATGGAACAGATTTGACAAGCAGGATGATTCATAGGCCTTCTTCGGGCGAATTCATAACTGTCTACTGCGTCCTAACCCATAACCTGACCAGGCTCTGCAGTGTAGACTGGAGACCAGGCGAAAAAGCCGTTCTCCTCGTGATTCTCAACGCCACAGAGAAACCAGATAGCGAATCTCCTGTCCGATCCAAGCCACCCATGAGCGAGCAGCTTAGAGACGACGACCACGGCGACCACCCTTTCTGCGGGTAGAGTCGGAGGGAGTAGGGGTAACATCCTCAATTCGGCCGATCTTCATGCCAGCACGGGCGAGGGCACGGAGAGCGGACTGGGCACCGGGACCGGGGGTCTTGGTACCGTTACCTGCATGTGAATTAGAACGACTGTCTGAGTGAGGGACACTCCCAATTGAACTTACCACCAGTGGCACGGATCTTGATGTGAAGAGCGTTGATGCCAAGCTCCTTGCAGCGGGCAGCGACGTCCTGGGCAGCCAACATGGCAGCGTAGGGGGAGGACTCGTCACGGTCGGCCTTGACCTTCATACCACCAGTAACACGGGTGATGGTCTCACGGCCACTGGAATCACCCAAGTTAGCCTCATTGAACCATACAACATAGCAAATTGCTCCTCCAAATTTCATGTTCCTTATTCATGGGCTGACGAACCTCAGATCGGTAACGTGGACGAAGGTATCGTTGAAGGAGGCGAAGATACGGGCAACGCCGAAGACCAGCTCGCCTGTTGAAGCAATTTCGTTAGTCCATGATCTCTCTCTTCCTCAATCTGCTCGGAATTCGTCCAAGGGTGGTCGCATACCATCGCGAACGGAGGGTCCGAGGGAGATGTTCTCCTGGGGAGCGCGGGTGGTGGTCTTCTTGGGAGCCATTTTGGAGGATTGGGCGACTGCTGGTTATTTCGTCACTTGGCGGTTGAGAATGAGGATCTCCAAATGTTATTTGCGCACCAAAAATTCGGCAAGTGCGATAAATGGGCGGTGGAGCGTGGCAGAATTGAAACCCTACGAGACCCACATTTTCGGCTGAAAATTTCTGGTAGCAAAAAGGCGGGTGTTCCCCTTCTTCAACTCACGCTTCCGACCGACAACCACTAACCGACCTCTCCAACAGCCGTCGCCGACAAAATGGGTGCTACGTATGTGAATCCTCCCTGAGGACGTGGACGATATGGGCAGATGCCCTGGTTCTCGAGACTTCTTTTGCTTTGCGGATTGCCGTGGTCCTCTCGCTGGAAAGTCACGGTCTCTGAATTGAGTCGTTGACCGCCAGCTCGATCTTTCTTGAGCTTCTCCCTCAATTGTTCTAGGCTTGAAACACAGTTTGGGCATTGAGAGATGTTGCTTGGGGTGTTGGAGATGAAGATGAAATACTTTTCTTTCCTAAAATCATTATCGTCGAATTGCACGCGGTCGCTGAAACACGCACCACAGACCAATTCTTCGAATATCTTTCTTGAACTTCATGTTTGGGGCGTTGTCGGATGAGCGGTCAAGGAAATCACCTCGATCCTCGTATCATGGTCTTCCAGCTCACCGATTAAAAACATCTTTCGAGTTAGCCAAGCGGAGAATGCTGCATTGCAACAGTTCTCGCACCGGCGCTCTGTTCCATACCACGCCCTGTGGTATCGTGGACTGCGAGCTAATCTGCTTCTATAGCGTTCCTACCAACGACCAGATCTTGGTCCCCGAGACCCTTCTCAAGAAGCGCAAGTCTCAGGAGAAGGCCCGCGCTGAGCGCACCGACGCCATTGAGAAGAAGAAGGCTGTGAGTACTATCCTCTGTTCACTCTGGCACTATGATGGAAAACATACATTCATCAACTAGACTCCGGTCGATGCTGTTGATAGTTAACCTTCTTTCGGGTCTGACATTGCCTGACTGATTCCAATCATTTCTTCATCCACTTGCAAGACATGAACTGACCAGTTTGAAATAGGCCAACAAGGAGAAGCGTCAGGTCATCTTCAAGCGTGCTGAGAAGTACGTTCAGGAGTACCGCGATGCTGAGCGTGAGAAGGTTCGCCTTCACCGCGTCGCCAAGTCCGAGGACTCTGCTTTCGTCCCTGCCGAGGCCAAGCTGATCTTCGTTGTCCGCATCAAGGGTATCAACAAGATGCCCCCCAAGCCCCGCAAGATCCTCCAGCTCCTCCGTCTCCTTCAGATCAACAACGGTGTCTTCGTCAAGGTCACCAAGGCCATTACTGAGATGCTCAAGGTCGTCGAGCCCTGGATCGCCTACGGTTACCCCAACCTGAAGACCGTCAAGGAGCTCGTCTACAAGCGCGGTTACGGAAAGGTCAACAAGCAGCGTGTTGCCCTCACCGACAACGCCATCGTTGAGGAGAACCTTGGCAAGTACGGCATTGTCTGTGTTGAGGATCTCATCCACGAGATCTACACCGTCGGCCCCAACTTCAAGCAGGCCTCCAACTTCCTCTGGCCCTTCAAGCTCTCCAACCCCACTGGTGGCTTCCGCCCCCGCAAGTTCAAGCACTTCATCGAGGGTGGTGACCTTGGTAACCGTGAGGAGGCTATCAACGCTCTCGTCCGCCAGATGAACTAAGCGTTGGTTTCTTCAAACAAAAAAGGCTTCTAAGGAATCGGTCGTTAGGACCTGACGGATTAAAAAAAGATCTGCATTTGACTGCTCGGCGTTCTTATCATGACAGGGGAAATGGCAATTGATACCGTGATTAATGACACCCGAGTTTTCAAATTATTCCATCAGTGATATCCTGTTACGTGAAGCTATTGTGAAGAGTTTTCTCACGTGCCATTTGCATGCATGCTCGTCATAAATGTGAGGGGTATTAATAATGCCAATTATACATGTGGAGAACCACTTTTAAATCTATGGATCATGAATCTTAATGTCTCCAAAGATTGGGTAGGTAGGTATTCTACATCTTGATATCAAAGCTTGTGCCACAACCACAGCTACTAGTAGCAAGTGGGTTATCAATGATCTTGAACTGTGAGCCGATCAACTCCATTGTAAAGTCGACTTTGCTGCCCTTGAGGAGATCGAGAGACGGCTCGTCGAGAATGATCTTGGGGCCTTCTTCTGAGGTTGTGGCCGGATCAGCGTCATCGGGGATGTACTGGAAAATGGTATCGTCCTCGTTCACGATGGATGACCACTTGGCGGCGTCCTTGGCTGGTAAAGTAACAAGGCTCATGAGATATTGGAAGCCATGGCAACCACCACTCTCGACTTGAATCCTTAAGGCAAGGTTCGGGTTACCGTCCTTTTCCATGATCTTGTTGAGACGCTTTGAGAGTCAGCAGTGTCTCCATAGGATCTTTCCTTCTTGCAATTACCTTGGCAGCTCGCTCAGTTATCTCCAGCATCATCTCATTGCCATCATCATCTTCTTGGGGATTTAGAATAGCTCGCGTTTTCTGTTGGATAGCAGTAGTCGAGAATTGCCTCGCAGCTGTTTCTCTTGACTTGGATTCCCACGACCGTCTCGGATGAGCATATGTTCTGGATTGTGCAATGGTGATATAAGGGGTTCGTAGTCGAGATGGAGGAGTGCATCGTGGAATAAGGAACTCGAGAGGCGTTGAGGTCTGAGACGTCGTTGTGTAGCTTCGTCGTGCAAGTTGAATGAAAGAATTGGCGGTCGATTGCGCATCAGCGCAGTAGATTCGAGCCATTGTGAAGGTAATGATTTGAAGGAATTAAGGTTGTAAGGATGATGTTGGAGAGAAGTGGAATTACGTAGCGCATCTATTATGCTGAGAAATCCATGTTACAAGCCGATTCCGCTTGCCTCCCGGACCTCGAAATTCTTCTACGGCCCGGAGACCGAGAGAACCTGGAGGGCAAGGTCCGGCTCAACGACGGATAAGACACTTTTACCGCCGTTGTATTCCGAAGGTCACCGATGAAGACATGTTTACATGACAGCATTATGAGAATGTACTGATCCCATGAATTTGACTAGCCCTTTCAAGGCTTTGTTGATCTATTATTACCTTTTAATACTGATGCATTTTCTTACCTATGCCCATGGTAGAGTTTGTCAAAGAATTTATACCGTTGACCGTGTATTAAGACGGGAGGGCACAGAAGAATGGCTGCAGGGCTGATTACGCATAACTCTATCCTATCCAGCACTGCAGCCACTATTCTCTCGACATTCGTAGCTCTTATCAAATATTATGTTCAATACCTTTAAACTAAGATATAGTAGCTAGGCCTTCTCAAACTCATGCTCGTCACTCAATTTGAAGCTTGTGACTCATGTCATCTCAGCCACTTACAACCAATCTTTCTGTGGCTGTGCGCCTATCAGCTCGGTTGCCCCCAGCCCCACCCTAAACATCCCACACTGAATGAATTTTGTTTTTGGAAGGAACAACCCCGCCCACTGACTTGACTTGACTTGAGCCAGGCCAGCCCAACAGACAAGTTTCAGTGTCAAACAATTTGCCCAGCATGTCTCGATTTTTCCGCGGCGGCGACGACAGCTCTAGCGACAGCTCCAGCGACGAGGAGGAGCTCTACTCCGAGGAGGAAGAGGAGGAGGAGAAGCAAGACTCCCAGGAGGATTCTTCCGAGGCCGACAGCGACGACTCGAGCAGCGATGACGAGGGTGGCCGAGGAATCAACAAGTTCTTGAAGGACGCATCCTCCGATAGCGAAGATAGCGACGATGAAGTACGAGCCAAAGTCAAGTCCGCCAAGGACAAGCGCCTGGATGAGTTAGAATCATCCATCAAGCAAATCGAGAACGGTCAAAAGAATGGCGACTGGACACTCATCTCTGCCGGTACGAGAAACACTGTCGAACTTTTTGTCAATTTTTTTTGGGTCAAAAATACTAATAAAACCGCTCAGAATATGAGAAGCTCAACCGTCAGGTCGCTAAGCTGCCTGGCAGCAGACCCCCCAAGCTTTATATCCGTATCCTCGCCGAGCTGGAGGACTTTATGAATGAGTCTCTCGCGAAGCAGAAGGTCACCCCCAAGAAGATGAACGCCATCCAAGCCCGATCCCTCAATGCCGTTAAGCAAAAGGTCAAGAAGACCAACAAGGAATACCAGACCCAGATCGATGCCTACCGAGCGGATAAGGATGCTTTCATGGAGTCCTCGGACAACGAGCCCGTTGCCCCTGCTCCTAAGCCCAAGAAGGTTTCTCTCCAGGTTGACGCTGCTCCTACTGAGGAGGGCGACGACGATGGTTTCGCTACTGTTGGCAAGGGTGGACGCACACTCCAGTACACCCCCGAGAGCATCTTCAAGCACCTGCGAACCATCATGGAGTCCCGAGGAAAGAAGAACACCGACCGAACAGAGCAGATCAAGACTATGGAGAAGCTCCACGAGATCGCCACCACACCCTACCAAAAGATCCGTGTTCTCCTTACTCTGGTTTCTACTCGTTTCGATGTTGGCTCTGGCGGCGCTGCTGCCATGCCTGTTGAGCACTGGAAGGCCGCTGAGAAGGAGCTCTCAAGCCTTCTCCAAGTTCTCGAGGACAACCACGACTACGTTGTTGTCGAGAACGCTGAGGAGTGGGACGATGATGACAAGCCCCCTACCCTGCAGGAGGGTGAGAAGCACATCAAGGTCCCCGGCAGCATTGTATCTTACATCGAGCGTCTTGATGACGAGCTCGTCCGATCCCTCCAGAGCATCGACCCTCACACCTCCGAGTACATCGAGCGATTGCAAGACGAGGGTGCTCTCTACAACATCATTTTCCGTGGCCTCCTCTACTACGAGTACCTCCGAAAGGATGACTCTCTTGATATTCCCCAAGATAGCGTGAACCGAATTGTTATGCGCCGTTTGGAACACGTCTACTTCAAGGTAATTTCCCAACTATTCTTCCACCTGTTTTCGCAGTAACTAACATTTATCCAGCCCGCCCAAGTTGTCAAGACCTTTGAGGAGAACTGCTGGAAGGTTGTTGGCGAGACCGTCGAGTCTGTCATCACCCCCCGCGACCAAGCCCAGAACGCTGGCAATCTGGTCAATGTTCTCTGCAACTACCTGTTCAGCAACAGCGACGGCATTATTCGTGCCCGAGCCATGCTGTGCCAGGTTTACTTCCTCGCCCTCCATGGCGAGTACTACAAGGCCCGTGATATGATGTTGATGTCCCATCTTCAGGAGAACATCCCCAACTTTGATGTGCAGAGCCAAATTCTTTACAACCGTACTCTGGTGCAAGTTGGTCTTTGTGCTTTCCGCAAGGGTCTCGTTTACGAGGCCCAGAACACTCTTCAGGAGATCTGCGGCAGTGGCCGCCAGAAGGAGTTGCTCGCTCAGGGTGTCATGATGCAGCGATACAACCAAGTGTCTCCTGAGCAGGAGCGTCTTGAGAAGCAGCGACAACTCCCCTTCCACATGCACATCAACCTCGAGCTCCTCGAGTGTGTGTACTTGACATGCAGCATGCTCCTCGAGATCCCTCTGCTGGCCCAGACTGGATCATCTCCTGATGTCAAGAAGCGAGTGATCAGCAAGACCTACCGCCGCATGTTGGAGTACCATGAGAGACAAATCTTCACTGGTCCTCCCGAGAACACCCGTGACCATGTGATGCAAGCGTCCAAGGCCTTGGCTGCTGGCGAGTGGAAGAAGTCGATTGACTTCATCCACAGCATCAAGATCTGGGACTTGATGCCCAGCGCCGAGGAGATCAAGACCATGCTCTCCAAGCAGATCCAGGAGGAGGGTCTGCGAACTTACCTATTCACCTACGCCCCCTTCTACGACACCCTCTCCATCGAGACCCTCAGCGCCATGTTCGAGCTTGACTCGACCAAGGTTGCGGCAGTGATCAGCAAGATGATCAGCCACGAGGAGCTCGCTGCCTCTCTGGACCAAGTCACATCCACCGTCATCTTCCGCAAGGGTGTTGAGCTCAGCCGTCTCCAATCGCTTGCCCTCGCGCTATCAGACAAGGCCAGCGCGCTCATCGAGAGCAACGAGCGAACTCTGGAGCAAAAGACACAGGGAACATCAAATGCATTCGAGAGACAAGGAGGCCGAGGCCGAGGAGGACAGAGACGGGGTGGTGGACAGGGCCGAGGAGGAGCGCGAGCAGGTGGCAACACGCAGCGACAAGCTGGTGGAACACAGTTCACGGGTGGTGCGCTGGGAGCGGCTGTCAGGGGTTAAGAATTGGAGAATGAACGAGATGAGGCGTCTTAGTCGTTTGCATTTTGCATGGGATGGTTTCTTTTAATGAAAAGGGGCGAAGATGCGGAAGCACTCGCTACGTGTCACTAGGTCGAAAGGGAATATGGATACATAGAACTCGTCAACATTGCTTGTGCTGGTGCCGGTGCTATGCTGTGAGAGGAGATGAGAGACGACAAAGAGAGTAGATCAAAAGTCTTTACTGTAGCGAACGAATCCATGAGATGAAAGTTATTTGAGCTGCATAACGACTTGTAGGTTCGTGTGAGGGTCTATAGATACCTGAGCTACCTAGTAGTGAGGACATGATGTTGTGGTGCTTGACTACCAAATCTTTTCACACCACATTGCGACCAACGGTGAAGATAGAGATGGACGTAATACTCTAGTTCCACCTCCGAAGCCAACAACTCTTGCATGGAGATTGGGCTTTCGTGGTTGAGCGAAGCGCGCGATTCAACGATATACACACGTGATGACTAAGTTGGCGCGCGGATAAAGACCGAGTCCATCAGTCAGCGATTTCCAATCTCGTTGACTTTTTCCATTGCGGATATGGGCGGCTTGTGAGTGGTCCAGAGGGTTCCTAATCTGGAGACATCATGAGGTAGACTCTTCTGTTTTTGTATATCATTAGTGAGATTTTCCGTGTCTTTGTCCTTGTTTTTCTCTGGTAATATTCTTTTGTCAATTAATAATGAGAGCTATTTGGAGGTTGCAACACTGTAAAAACGTCAAACCTCTAAACAAGACCAATTCTCAGACATTGCCACTTGGACTGTTCTCGATACCCTCTTTGCGTTTTCGGGTGGCTATATCCGCGAAATCTCATATTTTGACTGCTCCTTTCTTCACATCTTCAGGTAATCACCAGCAGCAAACAGTCATGTCTGAATCAAAACCTCAAGAAGAGGCAAAGCCTATTGAGACTGTTGAGACAAAGACAGAGGAGGAGTTACCACCGCTGTCAGACCATGACTTCAAGATATATAACCGAGCGGCCGACCACATGGAATATTTTGTAAGTCTCGCTTGCATATATCTCACCAGTTATTGTTAAGTATAGACCTAATGAATGCAGCACAACAACTTTCGAAGATCATGGAACCTCCTATGGAATGCCTGCACCAACAACCGTCGGCCCCAAGGCATGTCACTAAAGCAGTTCATCATGGAAGGTCTCCAGTTTGCCGAGCATCTCACCATGCACCACAACATCGAGGAGACGTACATCTTCCCCGTGCTAGCCAAGAAGATGCCCGAGTTCCGAGGAGGACGCGCTGAACTTCTCCGCCAGCACAAGCAGATCCATGCAGGGCTGGGCCATTTTGAGGAATACCTCAAGAAATGCAGGACGGGAGACGCCGAGTTTGAGCTCAGTGTGCTCAAGACAAAGATGGAGACTTGGGGCGAGGTGCTGTGGAAGCATCTGGACCAAGAGGTTGAGACGTTGGGGGCGAATAATATGAGGAAATACTGGACCAAGGAGGAGGTGATGAGATTGCCGATGTGAAAGAGCCTATGCTTATTATTTAGCGGTACTGTTGATATAGATTGTGCCATATGTAAAGGATTAGGGAGATACTTGATGCTGTTGAAAGATGTCTATGTAAGTGGGATACAAAGACTCTGATTCTTGGCCATTTAAGTCAGGTCGAATGTATAAATAACTATTCACAAAATGAAATACAAATTAAACTATTTGATAAACTATTTAATAAACTGTCAACTCGAGAGTATTTCTTTTGTTAGTCGTAGGTTTACACGCGCGCTTAGAGTGTGGATCCTACGGTTTTGTAGGTAAGTGAGTGGGGATAATTGATATTCCATCCGTCCACATCTCGAACCAATTTTCGAGCATCATCGCTATCGATCGACGCCCAGCGACAGGCAGGCAAGATGATGCGCCAAAGTATTAGACCCTTGCGGGCTTTTTCGGTATGAAACCTACGACAAAATCACTCTCAATTGGCTCTTGAGCTAACATTTGTGCCAGTCCGAGGTGTCATGGATCGCCCGCCGAACACAGGCCTCACTGTACGTCAACTCGCTACGACGATCGATTGCACGACCATAAATATTGACTGATTTAGGGCCAAGCCTGGAGATCTGATCCCAAACAAAGTGGAGGAGTCTCAACCAGAAAAAGCTCCTGAACCCCGATACCCTCGCTCCCTCCAGGCCCTACACCTCAAGCCTCTAAAGCGCGAGGCCCAGCACGGCATCCCCTCGTGCGACCTCCAGCTCCGATCCTTCAGCGTCCAACCCCTCGAATTCTTCTCCGACTTCGCCCTCCGCGCCGCCTACTACCTCGGCCTGCCCGCCTACGGCCCCGTGCCTCTCCCCCGTATCACAGAGCGCTGGACCGTGCCCCGAGACAACTTCATCTTCAAGAAGTCGCAGGAGAACTTTGAGCGAAAGACGCTGCGGCGGCTTATCCAGATCCGCGACGGGAACCCCGAGACGGTGCAGCTGTGGCTGGCATACTTGCGCAAGCACCAGCTCTACGGCGTGGGAATGAAGGCCAACATGTGGGAGTTTAGCGAGCTGAGCGTTGGGAAGAAGATGGATGCGCTGCCGGAGGCGGAGAAGGGCGAGATTGATGCCAAGTGGTCGCATCTTGGACAGACAAAGACGATTGGTACTGTGGAAAAGGTTGAGGAGTTGCTGAACCAGCGGAGGTTCCGTGAGGCTGCTGGCCTGAGGGTTCCTCCTACGACGAGCGTGTAAGAATGAGTTTGAAGTCTTCGTACTGTGGTCCTGAGAAGTGGCCGGCGGAGGAGGACTTTATGTGTACAATAGCCCATAGAAGGCTCCAATTTTGTAAAATCAACGTTTGGAATGACAAAAGTAATCTCTGACGATTGAAGCGAGTTGGAATATCATTCTGGTGATGTACTTAGTGAGGCTACAACGCCACAACACCAGCAAATAATTATCTCAGACCCCCAATCACACCCTTAGACAGTAGCAAATGAAATAATTACTATAGTTCCTCATATTTCGGTAGTTGCCGGGGACAATCTTGAGCCTTTTCACAACACGAAGAAAGGCGCCCCGGTAGATGCATACACAACAATCTCGAACCACTCACGACTCAACCTCAGTCTCAATTCAATCTCAACATGACTTGGAATCTCTCGAGCCACAGACTCAATTCCTTCCATTGAGCATCACACATCCCATCAAACATGTTAAAATCAGCAATTACAAAACCTCGAGTGATTTTCTCGGGCATTCAACCAACGGGCATACCTCACCTAGGAAATTATGCCGGCGCACTTCGACAATGGGTTAACCTACAAGAGAGCCATACACAAGACAAGCTCATCTACTCTATTGTAGATCTCCACGCTATAACAACACCCCAGCCAGCGGATGTACTAAGGAAGAGCAAGAGGGAGGCACTAGCTGCCTTGTTGGCCATCGGTATTGATCCCGAGAAAGTGACTCTGTTCTATCAGTCTTCTGTGAGAGATTCTACACCACCAACTCGCTATCTCATTACTGACGATGGCGGCAAAGGTGCCCGCTCATTCAGAACTCATGTGGATTCTCAGCTGCACAGCATCCGTTGGGTATCTATCAAGAATGACACAGTGGAAGGTCAGTGTACACACCAAAATATACCAACGCCAACTAACTCTCATTCAGAGCAAACTCAATATAAGTGACAAGTCCAACATGAACGACAAAGCAGCCAGCAACCTTAAGCTCGGCCTGTTCTCCTATCCCGTCCTCCAAGCTGCCGATATTCTTGTACACAGGTTCGTGGTGTACTCATTCTCAGCACAGGACTGGCTAAGCTGACACTCATGTCTTTAGAGCAACTCATGTTCCCGTTGGAGAAGATCAAAGACAACATCTCGAGTTTGCGCGAGAGTGTGTAACAAACTTCAATGCAGCTTATGGCAACCATCTAGTATCCCCCCAAACTACCACCTGTAAGTCCAAGCTCTCACCTTTGGTCCTGTGACACAGATTAACATGCTATGTACAGCGCCTGTGCAACGGGTAATGTCTCTCCAGAACCCAACAGAGAAAATGTCAAAGTCCAGCAAGTCACCAAAGTCACGAATCAGCATCACCTCCTCACCTCAAGAGATCAAGGCCAAAATCAAAGCCGCAACAACAGACTCCATCCAGGGCATAAGTTACAACAGAGAAGAACGACCTGGAATCTCGAATCTACTGGATATTATGGCCATTTTTGATCCTGAGGGTAGGAAGGCCCAGGAGCTCGGAGAGCAGTATAGCGACCTTTCACCTAAGCAGCTTAAGGAGATGGTTAGTGATGCTGTCATTGGTGGTCTAGATGGTATTCGTGATCGGTATACCGAGCTGCTGGATAAAGGGGATAAGTACCTCGATTCGATTGAGGCAATTGGCGCTGAAAAGGCACGAAAAAGTGCCGAGGCAACCATGCAGGTTGTCCGAAACGCTGTTGGGCTATAAAATATTTCATGTAAATCACTTGTACATTAACAATTGCTTCTCTGAAGTCTACGGCAACAAAATGACGAGCTGTGTCTCTCAGAAGAGAAGATAGAAGGTTACTCATAGATCCACAGACCCAACTGATCAAACCCAGATCGTTATAAAGTTAATGCGGAGATCACTTGGTGAAGATTCATCTTTCCATATTATGATATGTATTTGCAGGATAAGCAACGTCCCCAAACTCTCATGCCCAAGGTATCTTCATGTGCTAATTTTGGTCTAAACATCCTAGTACTTGATCTAAATTGTCTTCCTATTTACTTGTTGTAACTCCTGTTTTATTCATGAGGCGTAAGCAAAATTCGAGCCTCGCGCCGACTGCCAAAAGTCTCTGACGACCTGATTTGTGGCCTTGGCTCCCCTAAGACTGTGACATGGTCAGTGGTGTATAAAAGAATGAGATGGAGTTTGGACGGCAGTTATGCCGGATATTCCAAGGCGGGGCGTTTGAAAGGAGGAGGAATGCTGTACCTAATGATCTTCTTCAAGAACATCGATTTGTCCTGGGGAGTAACCTTTGTACTAGGAAAGGTCTCATGTGTGAGACCAGCCTCAAGCCAGCTCTTGGCCATGGGGTACCGATATACCAGCTTCTTGAGGGGCTCACTCAACTTGTCTAGCTCACTTCTGGAAGCATTGCCCCCAAGGTTCCTAGCAAGAGTCCGCGAGAGCAAAGGTCCCAGCATTTGCATAGCCTGTTGGGCAACATCATTGAGCTCCTGCGACTCATACTTGATGCTGACAAAGGTAGCCTATTGCCTGATGTTAGCTTTGGTGATGGCGCCCAATTTTCAACGGCACATCTTACCCAGAACTCTGCTGCACTTGCTTTGGGGAGTGGCTCCTTTCCGTCCAATACCTGAAGTGTGAAGAGAAAGAAGAATTCGGCAGCATCGGAAGGCTGGAGACGAAGTAAAGTAATGGGGCGCTTGTTTAAAAGGCGTGTTACAAAGTCAATGCCGTTTTGTGTAAGTTCGGTGTCTACCTCGTAGTCTATCGTGAAGTTGATGGTTAGGTGAGTACTAGGCGTTGGTGGCAGAACTTACTAGGCAGCTGTTTTAGCAATCCAATCACCCAGAGGAGCACAGAGTTTAACATGTCTTGCTGGTGGTCGAGTCCGTCGTGTTCCAGGGAGCTGACGAAAGAGCAAGCAGTCTTGACGAGCAGGCCAACTCTTGGTGTTTGAAGGTTCTGGTTCGTCAGGTACTGTGCAACACTCTGTGGTGGCAGTACAAAGGGACCAGGTTCAGATTCGGAGAACCCACTGCGTAGGACACTGCAGATGAGCTCAACAACCTCACCGCTGGTGTTGAACGCCTCTTGAATCTGGCTGACCATCGACATGATACTTCCTTGGAGCTGAGCGAGGTGAGGATCCACGACTCGAGTGCTGACCCTGCTACTCTCCAGATCAACCGATAACTCGGCTGGGGCTTGGAGGCCTTTCCCAATGCTAGCCAGACATCTCAGAGACTTCAGTGCAGTATGAAGGGCAGGAGTCTCATCGGGGGCAGCATATGAGCAGGCGTAAACAGCACAGCATGGCATAGGGCTGCCGTCGTAGGATCTCAGAAGGTCTAGAGAATGCTGGACATCAGTCTGAACAAACTCGAGAAGGCGGCCACACGCTAGGTATTTCTGGTTTGATACAGGCATCGCTTGAATGACTGATGCAATGCCACCGACTACCTTCTCGCTTGCTCCACAGTCAAGTCGTCTTCCAGATACTAGGCTATGATACTCGTTGAGAAAGCTGTTGGCTTCTGTATGAAGATATCCGCGACAGGAACCGCATAACCTGTGAATGGACTTTGCTGCCGCGTTGGCCATTGCATGTTCTCCGACCACGCCAAAGATGAAGTTGAGCACGGGATGCAGCTCAGAAACATTGCGTTCGAAGTACTCTGTATAGCGGGCAATGAGAGAGACGCATGTTTGCTGAACCTTGGGAGGAATCTCGGACTGGCCTGAACGCAGGATAGCGAACAGAGATGACTTGAAGACCACGGAGAGGGCATCGTCACCTCTGTTTGTCTCGCTGATACAATCGGCAAGTCCACCCAGACAGAAGGCCGCTGCTTCGAGCTGAGGCCACGACGATTCAGACAAAGCTTTCAGAACAAGGTCCGCAAAGGTAGAGACGAGCTGTGGTCCCACCAATGTAAATGCGGACTGAAGAAGATCGACTACATCCTTTCTTGCGTCATGGAAGCTTATCCGTTCGCTCGAGTCCCACGAGTGGAATTCCTCGGCAGGCGGGTATATGATTTTCTGCCATGCATTCGAAACAGCTTGCAGAAGGTGGGATCGAGCTCGAGGAACCCAGGTTCCCGCTGACTCCTCGTCTGAGTACGTTAGATCAGTCAAGGTCTCAGCATACGTCAGCCAGAACTCGAGAGCTGGGACAAAGATCCTGTCCTCCTCGACAACATAACCTCGAGCAGCGAGTAGACCGCATAGATTTGAGAGCAGTTTCTCACTCCTGCTGCCACCAGTTTGCATGAATCTCTCTATCTTCGCCTCTCCAAAGGCTAACAAGAGCAGGCCGTATTGCAGAGAGTCAAACTCAAAATCTCCTTGCACTAATTTCTCGTAGCGACGCTGAGACCAGGGGGAGTCAAAGAGCTGAGCGAGATTGTCAAAATGGGTATCGCTCAGAAACATCAGGCAGTTGGATAACAGATCGACCATTAGTTCGACTGACACGCTGTAAAGTTGGTCAACTGTCAAGGAGGTGATTACTGCCGTGATCAAGGGTCCGATGGGTTCCGAGAGTCTTGTATCCTTGGACGATGACTTTTGAGCGAACCATACCCACGACTGCATTTTTCGTCAGTGAACTTCAGGAGAGAAGACTGTGTGTGTTTACCTGTAGGCACCGTATTGCGTCTTCATGAGCCTCCTCCGTTGTCGTTTGTGGTGACATGCTGCGACTCATCAAAGCCACTGCATCGGAGCTATTCTCCAAGATGGAACCATAGATACCAACGCTGCCATCATGTTAGCCGCGAACAGAGCAGTCGAGCATGAAGCGGTGCGGCAGGTACATACTTTTGCACGGAGTTGAGGTTGATTTTGGCAACCTCCTCGAAGACGTTGGTCAGTACCCAAAGAGCAGCCTGTGCTTGTGATGGTTCCATGCGCTCCATAAGCGAAACAGTATCAGGTCCCTCATCGGGGGCACTTGGTAGACACGACTGGCCTGAGACTAAGCAGAATATGAGATGGCGGATGAAACGACTCCATAGTTGGTGAAAGTTGACGTAAAAGGTCGCAAGGGCTGATGCGAGTTTCCGGGCTACCAACGGTGAGCTTCGACTGCGCAGCGTATCCAGGTAATGATTAATCAATAACAATAACAGCTCAGATGCATCTTCAGGCGAGAGGGATGAACTGCAGAGAGAGTGAGTATTAGTGAGAGGCCAGTAACGACAACAAAGACACGAATGAAAGGATGAATACCTCTCGTTGTTGAGTTTGATGACGATGGTGAGTGCGCCAAAGAACTTGACCTGCTGATCAGGCTTCTCCAATAGGATACGAGCAAGACCCCAAGCTTCAGGAGTGCCTTGAAGGCGAGATAAGGTTGCTTGTGTCTGAGCGATCACATCGGGAGGATTCGGTTGGTACAGTGAGAGAATGAGCTACAGAGAGAGAGAGAAAAGTTAGTCGAGACGATGCAATTTGCTGCGCTTCACTTCACGACAGCAGAAGCTTCTCCTGTATTGGTTCAAGCGCAAGAAAGAACAGAATCGATTATACATACTCTCTCAACTTCTGCTGGGTCTTGGGCCATCGTTGAAAGGATTGTGTAGTCTAGGTCACTCGAGCAAGCGATGCGATCACTGGGCTCTCATGCCCCGCCGTAAGATAGGTACTGTACCTAGAGTGAAGGCTGGTGGGGGTTGAAAAATGACAGCCACAATGACCGTGAAAGGAAGAAAAGTTACAAGTATCTTTATCCTTGATTGTTAGGCCCTTAGGTACTACAGCATTCGTCTTACGGATAAACGAATAGGGACATCACTCAGACAAGCATCATTGTTTGACAATATTATTATTTAATTACGTTTACGACGTTGCGCTACAACGTTCTTGTAGAAAGCCTTCTTTCCACTGGTCTTTTGCTTCTGGATGCCAGCGTACTTGTCGGTGAACTTGTGACTATCAAGGTCCCGTGTGACCTCCTCGAGGAGAGTCTTCTTCCTCTCCTTGCGCGTCAGTCTCGCGCTGAAGAACTCGGTCGGTCCGGCGATGATCTCGCCGACCTGGGAATATTCGGGAGCGCTCGCGCGGAGGTTCTTCTTCTGGTGCTTGGGGTCCAGGATGCCTCGCATGCGGAGGACTTGCCACTCTCGCTTGAACTCGGGGGTCATGTTCGTCTTGGGCAGATCGAACCACTCAGGGCCTGCGGTAGACTATTGCGAAACCTGTTAGCCATGTCTGTTCGGCAGCGAGTGTCCTGCATTGATGTGCTAAAGTGTTTGCGCAAGGTAAAAGTCAGAGTAACTATGATATAAAGAGATCATGTTGTCATGGTCCTTTGATCCAAAACGGATACTGTCCCATGTCACAAGGTTTGGGATAAATTTTCTTCATGCAAAGTGGCAAACGAACGGAATAGACTTGGAGGGAGCTTGTTTTCTTACCTTTTCCTTGGCCTTGAGTCCCAATTGCGGTTGAGGTGGTGCCCGAACAGTCAGGCCATCTTTCTTGCTGCTGCTGTCGGAAGAGTTTTGCTGTTTGACATGTTTTGTTGTCGCGGCGTCGCCAGCGACTACAGCATTTGAGGTTGTGGAAGAGACGATAGCAGAAGCAGAGCCGTCTTTCAGGCGCTGCTCAGCCTTGCGCAGCAGCTCATCGACCCGATCATCTAAGATGTCTGTCATGGTCTGCTGTCGACCGAGAGGAAGAAGAGAAGAGAAGTGAAGAGGACTAGAAACGAGCGCGTAGAAATAGTTGAGAGATGGCAGAAAAAATGCAGTGGAGACAGATCAGGAGCCCCACTCTGGCCGCTTCCACCTCATTGCTCTATAGGTACCTTACTTACCTTAGGTACCTTACCTTAAGGTAGATCAAAGTACCAGGGAGTACAAGGTTTGATGAGAACACGATATGATTTTTGTCCAATATAATAAACTTCTACCACAATTTTTACAAGATGTGGTTGGCTACCTAGCTATTAAGATTTAGGTATCTCTATTCGTGACCTCAGCCTTATACTCAGGAGGGAGCTCGTCATGTGGCATGCGAATCATTGGCCAATCAATGCGCAAGACACCTAGGCCAAGCCCCATATATATACCTACGTTAGGCACCTTACGTCAAAGGTGCTCTCTCTCTGTTCCAAGTCAAGGGACATTTTTACTCCCCCACCTCAGCTTCATATATCCACCACATTTCTATCATGGAGAACAACCCAGCAGCAAGCCGTACGAGGCCTGTCTATGACTCCGCTCAAGGCGGACACTATGGCGCCAGCGCTGCGGTAAGTCAAACTCCCTTCCTTGCTCATGATGTGACGCGATGCGACGCGACGCGATAGCTTCAATCTCTGCTGTAGACATGCCGCTAATAACTTGCTTAGCTCGCGGCTCAGGGCTTTGCGCCCAGTGAGCTTTACACCGGTCCTTGGGCAAATGTAAGTCATCATACCATACCATACCACTGTAGGTTGTAAATGATTGCGCTGACCGGGTGGTGCTTTGCCAGGTGCATCAAGGCCTCACGGGCCAGTACAAGGACATCTTGACTACATACTGGCAACACACCATCTCCTGCCTCGAAAACGACAACCACGACTTCAAGCTCCATCAGCTACCGCTAGCGCGCATCAAGAAAGTTATGAAAGCCGATCCCGACGTCAAGATGATATCTGCCGAGGCCCCGATCTTGTTCGCAAAGGCTTGCGACAACTTCATCACAGAGTTGACCATGAGGGCATGGATTCATGCCGAGGAGAACAAGCGCCGTACTCTCCAACGCTCAGACATCGCATCCGCTCTCGCCAAGTCCGACATGTACGACTTTCTGATCGATATTGTCCCCCGCGAAGAAGCATCCAGCCATGCCAAGCGGACCCAGACCGCAGTTGCTCAACCTGCACCTGCTGGTCAGGCTCCAATGTCAGGACAACAACACACGATGACCCAGGCGCCCAACCAAGCCCATCCAATGGGTGCTGATTACATGGCTGGGCATGGCCTCGCTCCCGATCAAGACTACCGCAATCAGCCCAACATGTATCCCGACCAATCAGTGCCTAACCCCCAGGCCGCATACGGTCAGACCCAGCCTATGCACCCATACGGCAACATGGGCGACATGTATCCCTACTCAGCCATGCCACCACAGCAGACAAGCATGCCCAACGAAGAATTTGAGCAGTAGAGCCCTTCAACTTCCGTGAAGGAGCTGAAGGAGCTGCTAAGTCCGCTCACACACCTTCATGACATGGTGGAATAAAGGCGCAGTGAAGAGCTGGAGGAGCTTCTAGAGCGGTTATGGTATGGATATGGGTATGGAGGGACTACGAACTTCATTCTTCTTAGCAGCGATTCCCCAAATATGATTTGATATGACATTAAACGCCCTTGTCCTCTTTCCCATCTATGTGACACTTGATGCAAGAGTAGGGGAAACCAACACCCATCATTTCTTATTGCTCTGGCTTTCACCATCCGCCCTGCCCGAGAACTCCCAATGGACTCATTATCGTCGCAGTACTACATCATGTTCGGTTTATACCAAATCGTGAGGAAAAGTTGGCCAGCGGCGCGCTTCTAACGGGGCTCGCGGTAATGGGCGTCAACCTGCAGTTGGTTAGCAACGTGAAAGACTGATCGCAATTTGATTTGACATACTTCTCCAATAGCATTGGTCCGTTGAGGGCATCTACACGTCCGTATTTCTTGTTACGCGTAGAAATGTCAAAGAACTCGTCTTGGTTATCCGTCTGGAGGAGAGCAATGGTCTGTGCCAGCTCATCCAAGTTCTCTCGAAGCATCTGTCCGTTCTCTAGACTGCTGACGAACTGGACGAGATAATCTACGTCTTGTGCAAGAGCGGCTACGCCGTTGGGATTTATGTGCTTCACGTCAGGAGAAAGGGGGAGGGCCTGGAGAGTCAGCAGGTGCATATTTGCAGCAGGAGGAGTAGTACGTACGAGAATCTTTTCAGCTGTGTGGCTCAGAGCGTCAAAGTAAATAAGTTCCTTGATCTCTCGAGGTAAACCAAGAAGAGTCGAGTTCATAATGTTGGACAGGTACCGCGTCAAAGTCTGCATATAGTTGCTGGGTTCCTTTTCCACTGTCGATGCCGTCCTAAGACCAGTTAGACCTGCCGCAAAGGATCAGCTAAAGAACATACCATTCATATTCGGCTGTTTCAATCAGGTCATCGATCTTGGAGTTGACAAGCTCAAAAATTCTCTTCTCCGCCGTCTTCTTGTTGTTGCGGAACGAGTCGGTGGCTTTAAGCTTGACTGGGCCGCCGGCTGAAGTTGATGAGCGTGCACGAATGAGTAATTGCTCAAGCTCTTGACAGGCAATCTCGAAGTGCTCCAAGTTAATGAGAATTTGGACGATCTGGCCCAGGTATTGAGAGCTCAGACGCTCTACTAACGACTTGCAGACCTTTTCTGTAAGAAGTTCGTCAAGCGACTATCGAAGATGTGAGCAACAAACTTTGTGCGTGAAAAGAGTGCCGTACCTTTTTGAGCGTTTCATCAATGACATTGGGATGTTGGAAGTGGTCATCTGAAAAGAAGTAGAACTGATTCAGGAAGTTCCTAATGTCTATACAACATAAAGGATACATCTGCGAGAACGGGAGTACGCATGGGTACCTGTTTTGTTAGCATGGATTGGCTGCAGTCAGGCTGAGAGAACTTACGTGAGTTGATCTGTTGGCTTCTCTTGAGTGAACCAACTGACATTGACAACCTTTTCGTACTCTTCTGGTGTATTGATGGCCATTGGCATGTAGTCATCCGTGGACACTATCTGGTGGCTTGTCAGTAAATGGCAACGATAGGGTTTGTGCAACACTCACCTCCTGGAAGTCTACGCTAAAGCGATTCTTCAATAGCTCGGCATACTTGTCGAACAGCTTCAGAAGGAAGTTGTCCAGCATTGTGACTGTATATCCCCAGCCCTGTATACGTTAGCAAAGCCGTGGCAAATTGCGGTTACGCGCTGGGCATCAAGATTGTCGCACCTCCATCGTTTGAATGAAAAGAGCAATGATGGTCTTGATCTTGATCAAGGCCTCAGCATTCTCGATATCACTTAAAGCTTTTGAGGTGAGGTTTATCACAGCAGTGCACATGGATTCCCACAGCTCTTCAACCTTTGCGTCATGTTAGTTCAAGCAACCACATACAAGACTGTCTAAACTCACATCGTTCGCTGAGCGCAAATGTGGAACCCTTTGCATGGTCGCCTTTTCGACGATGGCGAATCCTGCTATTCCTTCCAGCAAACTACTCAAAGATTGCTCATCCTCCGCCAAGAGTTCAATAAACCCAGGGAGTAATAGGTCCTTTTGTTGACGTCGAGTCGCACCGTATTCTGATCTGAACTTCTCAAGCTGACCCAGGGCCTCATGAATATGAAGCGCTTCGAGCAAAGGGGTGAAGTCTACTTGTAATTCCTCGTTATTCAACACATCAAAGTCTTCGTTTTCGTCGCTGACAAGCTCAATGGCCGAGTTCAGCTTGAAATTGGCCAGAAATGGGTCCTCTTCTATTCTCTTTTTTTGTCGAGTCCTCCTCATTTCAGTATGGTAGAATGCGACCTCGCCCAAGAACTGAGATGTCTCTCGTATACGAAATAGCCATGTATTTAGGTCTGTCATAACCGCTTCTGAGATCGCTTTCTGGGACGCGGGTATAGATTTTTGGATGACATCGGCCAGCCGATGCTGCGTAGAATAGCGATTTTGGATGATGGGAACAAGATGTTCATTTTGAAGATCGTCAAGGGATTTGAGAGCGGCATAGTAGTTCTTGCGACGAACTAGTTCGTGAGCATTATTGACGGCGCGGAGGATGGTAAGGGAGTCGTTCAGGGCGCTGGTCGCATCGGCGATGTTTTGCCTGACAGCAGAAGTGTTGACCAGAGCTTCCTTTTGTATAGCCAGCTTCTTCGTGCTTTCAGCGATTGACTCGTTCAGACTCAAGATCTCTTGCGTCAAGGCCACAGTCTCGGCTCGAACGGTCTGAAGGTGATTGATGGAATCGAGGAACTCCTCATGCCTGGTAAGACCGATGCGCTCGATTTCAGCTTCACGCTCTTCGTAGTACCGACTTAGGCATTGAGTCAAAAGGGGTGTTCGGTTCGAGTGTGTGGCATCTTTGAGGACGGGTATCAACTGATCGAGGAACTCGGCATCAGAGGATGCGAGGATGACCTGAAGAGGTGACAGGTTAGCGCATTATTCTGTTACGATCGTGGAGAGGCGGGAGTTGTACATGCGGAACAGCGGACGCATAATCGTCCACAGCAGGCGGACGTCGCGGCATGCCTATAGCCTTCGTTCGTATCGTTAAAGCTATCAGCGATGAGGGTATCGTCTTAGTCTTCGCGTGTCGCAAGCTGCCCTGAAGCTCCCTCCCACTAAGACCAAGTGACGCTTAGGCTTCAGGATAAGATAAGATAACAACTGTCACTGCCACAGCGCCTCACAAGCCTCGTTCCCATTTGTGTAGGCTTACTTAAGCCGACACTCCACTCAGAACTACATGGGATCAGGAGAGTGTATTCGATATGTAGAAGCAGATAACTATCGAAATAACATGTTCTGTACTCATCAGAATATGACTTGAATTTTCCTATTTTTTAAAGTCTGTTATTACTTGCGAGATACCCGCATGAAGGTTCTTTAAAGTGGTGATTGTTCTTTACTGTCTACGGATTGAACCATGTCTTCCCATGAAACTCATTAAGATTGTGGCTACACGGCTCCAAAAACACGGCTAAATCAGCTTCAAATAAAAGAACTAAGTTAAAAGCCACAATAAACAGCATGGTTATCACATCATAATAAAGAACGGCTTTATTCTCTGAGAGAAGCGCAATGTTGACGGAGTTCTAGAAGGAGATGATATAGGGTAAGAACCATATCAAGGAAGTATGTTTGCCTGCAATGCAGGACACGAACTCTTCATCAAAGTATGGGCTTAGTAGAGTAGAACTCATACTATTATGCTAGTAGAGCATAGAAAAGCAAAGTTGATCACATGTGACAACAAAACATGACCTTAAGAAAGACATACAGGGAGTTCCCAGAATAACATGGCACCTTACTCATACGGAAATATTCCGATGCAATAGAGGGACTGCTTATCTCTGTCCCAGCATGATACATTCACCTGCAAAGCTGGCGCTAGACCGAGCCATATTTCAACCAAACAGTTGAGTCGCATCGGTGTAGAACTCACACTTCTCTAGCCGCTATGAACGATAGATCTATTCTTATGGCGGAAGCAGTTACTGCTTAGGGGAACTAGCTGGAAGCTCTACTGTAGTGATATTGAACTTGCTTGAACTATCGGCGTCTCTTTTGACCAGTCTTCATTATCTGTGTTGTGTTAGTACTGGGCCTGCGCCGTACATGCTGTGAGAATGGATCGCTGCATGTCCCAAGCCCTACCGGGGAAGTGGTAGTTGTGACTGTGAGAGTAGCTTATAAGCTGATGGTCAAGCGTGCAGCGGCGAGGCCAAGTTTTGCAACAAAAACGAGGAGGCAAAGAGCATAAATCTCTTAAAATGCTCGTTAAGATAATCCCAAGCCGCAAATGAACGCGGGGGGGGGGGGGGGTTTCGAGCGATCTCTGCCATCGAAGCTATGTCGCAACGGCATGGAGAACTACCTGAATTGTGCTTGAGAAGAGACGACCGAAATGGTCATACAAAGATGCTCCCAGTGTATGTATGGCAGGCAAACTGATTTGGGGATACTGGAGACTAGATGTGGGTGTTTTGACAGGCCAATTCGGGAACTCTATGGGACAGTGTCGTAAGCTAGAGGCTTTTGCCCCATCAATGCTGGAAGACAAGACCTCAGGCCCTGGTACTAGAAGCGCAGACGGTATTCGTGTGTATTGGCAAGCTATGACGTTAGGAAGGTGAAGTGAGAACTGGCGTTGGATGTTCGTCTACATGGTCATTGTCGCTGTAAAATCTGCTTCTATTCAGAAATTAGTGCCGGAGACTTGCACAGACGAGCCGAAACCTTTTGGATCTATCCCACCAGACAAGTCGAAAGGGGTGTTCACTGAAAACCGCTGTTGTGATGAAGTCAAGAACTAAACATCTGCTTCTGAGGACACATGTAAGATGCTAGACCAGCCGTATCCCTTTTCTCTTTCGAATCTTATCACTGATGACCATAATGCGAAGTGTTGTTCTTTGGTGGCACTCAACTATCTAGAGCCACCTATGGTGGCTGGCAAGATGGAACATTGAGGAAGGGCCGAAAGCTTTCGAAACAAGTCTTGGCCAAGATTCGCAGGTATTGACCGCCTCGACCGTTAGGGAGGGAAACTGGAGTGACGGAAAGTTTGTGTATGAGCTGTTGCCTAAAGGTTTGAGAACTTATGTTAGTGACAGAAGATGGCGAGGAATCAGGGAGGGAACGAAACAGGACAAACCCTGCACAGCGTTGAAGGGCTTCTTGCTCAGATACATGATCCGAATGGCTGCCGAGGAGGATCATAATTTCTTTCGACTTGAAGACACTCAGATATCGAGTTACAAAAGGACCTCGTAACGACAGGAGCTTAGGGGTACCATAATCCTAGGGCCGGGATAGGCTTCTCAGAACCCAGCCCTTGCCCAACCAACACGAGGCATCTCGGCCAAGCTAGAAAGTAGTCAATTATTAGGCAGAAGTGCCATTCAGACAGGTGACTGAGTGGTGCTCGATTGAAGGGACCATAATGGCTGGACGGCCAAATTTGCTTCGCGACTAACATGATACTTCCTCAGGGGCTGACTTGAGCACCAAGTCGTCGCTCATGCAATTGAGGGACGACAGACCACATCTTGCTATCCTGGGTATGCACTCCGGTCGGATAGCCTGGGCTGAACTGAAATCTACCATGCCGAGGAGAATCGGTAACTCGCTAGTGTTGTGGTCGTGGTCGGGTAATTAGAAATAATTGGCGTGCCCTTTGATGCTCTTGTGACTGGGAAAATGGAGCGTGAGCTTTGCTATCTATCCCATGGAATTTGGCTGTGTGAGATTCGAGGCCCCTGACAGCGCGACCGCCACCACCACCATGTCAGGATATGGCCATGATGCCTTGCCATTTGAAGGCCCTATCAGAAGCCATGCCTTTGATCGCAGTAAAGGGGACCACCAATACCACCAATACAACCAACCCTCTGTTTGTGCGGAAGTATCCAATAATGAGTATCAAAGACGTTTCGGCCCAGTCGTAACCTCTCAGAAACTGTAAAAGGGGTCGTACGACTGGTGTCAGAACTACCCCTGAAGGGAAGTGAAGTACCGGAACCGGCTTGGGGCGCATATATAGAAGAAACAGAGTTCGAAGATCGAAGTATTGGATACGCAACACTGGGGAGAGGCGCATCATGGTCACCAGGACGAAACTAGTGAAGTGTCTGAAGGGCATTAGCAAGATCTGTGACAGAGTGGCGGCTAAGGTTCTTGGATGTACCTTCGGAGCATCTAGCAAAGAGGTTGTTCTGCTGCTGCTAGATGGCGAAGTATTAGGTCCGTTGCAACGGAGTGACTGTGGTAGTACCGAAATGGAGATGCCCATAGTAGTTCCATGCCATAACAGGCAATCGAAGTCAGAGACGCCCTGTAACGTTATTTGGTTTCATCATGTTAAGCTCTTCAGAGCAATGGAACAATGTTAATGCAATTCCACTGCAGTTATGACTGAGAAGATACCATCTCTGCAGTCCATGTGATGGCTCTTGTAGCCTCCACTCACTCTGCATTGGTCAAGCTTTGGTACTGGGGGTAATGAGTTATAGGCGGCCACTCACAATGCCAGTAATCTGAAGTCCCGGGTGCTTGGTCAGTGACAGCGCTGGAGATTCTGTGATGGAAGCCCTGACATGACCGCAGCCTTTTTCAAGATTGGCACGGTGCTATTGCCAAAGATTATGACCCCTGTATGGAAGGCAATACAGTACTGAATGTCGTTGAAAAGGGGCCTTCTACCATAATATGAAGGACTAATTAGCTTGAAAAGCTCCCGGATGCCTGACAGCATATAAAAAGGGTCAGCGCATGGCAACGACCGGCGCTGCCACAAGCCTCAGGACAGTACACACAATGTGTAATGGTATCAAGGGCCCGAAAGATGAAGTGCTATTAGGGGCAGAACTCTAGTCGGAAACAGAACAACGTTTGAGAGCTTCTGAGCTCAGGGGGAATGCTGAGGCATCTTGAAACACCGATGGACATCTGGTAGCTCGAGTCATCAGCTACGACCGGAGAATATGAAGGGGATGCAAATAGTGACCAATGTACCTTGAGAAACCTTGAATCGTGTCAAGGAGTGTGGCTTGGCTCCGAGTGCGCGAGAGCCTGTTACGCTGACGTTGAAGCTGGGCCCCAATATTGAAAGCACAGGAACTTCGACATTTCTGTGATCGCAGACAGATTAAGCGCTATAGACATAAAGCCTATGTAGGACATCATGGCAAAGTGTGTCACGCACCGAGCTCCAGGATCCGTGTGAATACATGTTTCTCTGGAATGAGAGTCTACTTGTGTTGCTCAGAGGCTACAAGCAACCAGAAGGTAACCTTCTTCATGAAAAGTGGATGCGAGTAGCGAATGAATTGTCTTGTTTTGCCAAAGCTGACTACAAGCCATCTGTCGAGGCTGGGATAATGCTGAGGAAGTTCAATCATCTAGGTCTGCGAGATGTTAGGATAGGAGAAAAGGTCGGAGTTGCGTTTCCACGAGGGGTAGCTGAAGAGAACGTACCGGAGCTTGGAGTATATGAAGATCTTGAGCTAATCAGACAAACTTGGGCAAAGAAGACGTCCGAGAGAACTCCAACGACTTGAAGCTACGAATGTCAAAGTTAAGGACATCGACAAAATGACAAGTATGATAGTACTGGAATCGAGTTTCGAGGAAGAAGCGAGAGTGGCAAGGTTGAGCAAAGAGATTGTTGAACTGACTGCTGTGATGGCTTGGTTTGCTACATCTCACAAAGACTGGCTGACCATGGACGGGCAATGTTGGTAGCCAGGTTGGTGCTCAAACAAAAGGGTACCTACCTAGCAAATACGCCTGGGCTTCGGATGGGTCAGCATTGTTTGGTGGGTAGCCCCGTGTAACAGAAGCGAGTTAGGTAGCCCGGCGGGAGGGACAGGGGATATTGGATCCGCTACCATATGCAGCCAGCCCTGGAGCAGTCTGCCCGGATTGCTACAGTTCCTGCTAATACTTTAGTCGTCCAATGTTGAATGACCCACTGGTGAGTGCTCAACACGAAGTCTTGCCTAAGAAATCCTCGAGTTGTAACTGCTTTACCTCCCCACTTTACTTTGCCATCTTAGGAGTTCTTTTCTTTTGCCTCACCCTTACCATCAAAAACGCAAGCCATGTAACAAGAAAACATCTTCCACTCTTATCCCGCTCAAGAGCCTACATTCTACCCCTAGTATTTCATCGGATCGTCACCCATTATCTCATCATCACCCCTTACATTTCGACCCCCCCGTCACTCTATCACACACTCCGGAAAGCTCGACTCCCTGAACTCCCTTCCATCCTCCTGAGTAAGCCTGACGCTCACTATGCTTGGTATGAAGTACTTAACTGACCTGCAGCAGACTTCACTTCACTCTTTGCTGCCAAACATATCACATCCAGCTCTCATCACTCCTGCATGCAGCTGTCAAATATCACACCACGGAGCTACTAGTTAGGTAAGATGAACGCGGATGATTCGAGCTCGTCTCGTCTTCGTCTTACTTTCGTCTGAGCTGTATTAGCGGTACTGACAGTTACTGCTGCAGCACTGGAGCAAGTTTCTACATCGCCAGGAAGAGAGTAGTACATGAACAGACGAGCCAAAATTACAGAAGCCAAAGGTCCCGGTGCTTGGGATCCAAGCTACAGACACAAATACTGTGCAGAAAAAGCTGGCAACCATACACTAAATACCTCACTTCTGACGTCCCCGAGTTCAACAACAGACGCCCACCGTACCGAGAGTGCTTCCCTCCTGGATTTACTTGCCGGCAAACTGCAGTTGCAAGACTCTTCGGCTAGCCATAGGGCTTGGGCAGTCCCTATTTTCGGTAAGAAGAAGGCCTCCTGGCTCTCATCCTGCAGTTCGCTAACGTCAGTTGTGTAGTAGCAGGACCTTGCCACTCCTCCTTGAAAAGCAAGTGTGGCACCTCAAAGGCCAAAGAATTCCCCATCGGCCTACGAACCCGGACATGTTCGAGTGCAATGATTATCTGCACTTCGACCTGGAGCATCCTAGACAGGCAGCTTGTTTACAAGTCTCCGTCGAGGATGACCTGGCCAACAATGGAACTGCATTTAAGTTCACCTGTGTGGAATTTCGAGGCTCGGCCGCCGCTAAGAAGTACGTTGCCAACGTCAAGCTCAAGAGCCTTGAGTTGTCGACAACAACGGAAGATTCTTTGACATCAAAGAGCTGGTGCCTAGGAATACCACAGTACAAGATGATGCAGAAAGGCGGAGATGACATCGCTGGAAACATGAAGAAAGGTGGAGAGCATTTCGGCGCGATGGGGCGGACAGACCCCAAGCAGAAACAAAACGACAACACCCGCCAGTGGAACAGACAAGATCCCCGGCCACCGAAATGTTCGAAACAGACGACTTTCTTGGTTTCGATCTTGAACATCACGAACAGGCTATAATCATACATGAGCCACCACTACCCCTTGACAGCGGCAATGGTCGATACCAATGACCTCCTGTGGTTTGATCTTGAAAACCTGGAGCAGGTAGTCATCGTACCAACTAGGTACAACAGTCGCATTAATATGGAGAGAGATATCAATGAAATCGTGGCAAAGATGAAGGAGAGCCGCGAGCGTTTCTTGGAAATGGGGAGGGACAAGATACTTTAACATCTCTCTTCATATAGATGCGACTGTTGTATCTGGTCGGGACGATTACCACCTGCCCCCGATATGTTCGACACCAACGACTTCCTCCGGTTTGATCTTGAACACCCGGAGCAGGTGGTTATTGTATCAACTACATATAACAGTCGCATCTACATGAATAGAGATGTCAACGAAATTGTGGCAAAGATGAAGGAGAGCCGGGAGCGTTTCACGGAAATGGGAAGATACAAAACAAACCCTTTCCCATGGACAAGTCTGATGCCCTATCGCCATCGTTATTTACATCGTGGAGTCCGTGAATGTGATAATCAAATGGTATTGAACCCGTTAGAGTCGAGCAACTATCTTCCTTTCGACGTGGAGAAACCACAATAGTCAGTCATTATACCGACCAAATACCACGCCCCCTCTATATTTTCTATACTACTTGGCTTGGATAATGACTGTCTGTAGTAGTCTCTAGAGGTCGAAGGGCAGCTATCCGAACCAGATCAAGGCATACCTGAACCCAAAGTCACGAAAAGTAGTCTCGGCCGCCTCAGCCCTGGTCGAAAGTGGATCTGCACCAAGAATCGTCTTCGATAACTACGGAGGACAACTGATCAACGATAGACCAGGAGTGTCCAGTGGGGCACGCTCGAGGTAGTTCAATGCACCAACGAAATAGTCGCCAAGATGAGAGAAAGACGTGAGAGCTTTGGTGTATGTATGGCCGAAAGGATGGGAAGAGGCTTCTGGTATCTCAACTGCAAACAACACATCTAGTCCACAATTAAAAATTCCCCCAAATACTTTATCCGCCTCTTGAATGCCTATTTATAACCACTTAACTGCATTAGAGAAGCATAGGATGCCCAATGTAAGATGACAAAGATAGCACGTTAGCAGTGGTCGACTCCATGAACTATTTCTCCGCACAGAGCGACCCTTGAAAACTCGCATGTTAAATACGGCATTCAATGTATGAGGGACCTGATTTTTCTGATAGTTAGCATGGTCAACCCTTTGATATAGCGCGCTGTTGGAGGTGCCAGGAACAATCAAGGCTACGAGGACAGTTTTGATCCTTTTACCACAAATTGTTATACTTAGGATGTTCTTATATGTTGAGATACTTTAATCATGCTCGCTCGAGTAAACGACTTCATGTGCAGTAGCAACAAACTTGCTCTCAACATCAGGCCTGTATTCCATGGACAAGTACGAGTCTCCATGTGACTGCCTATGATCCTGTATAGGATACATAGCGAGGGGTTAGCCGACTTGAGGTCTGCAACCACAAAGCCATGCTATAAGTGTCTTTAACTACTCCTGAATATCATTATTGGACTGAAGGACATGCCGAGATACCTGGTACACACTGCACTGAACTTTTGAGAAGTTGAGAAGTTTGATAAGGAATATAAATGGCTGCATATACAGAATATATATGAATGCCTGAATTCCCAATCCGTCTCCTCGCTCAGCAGCTGTCCCAACACCGTCAGACAAAGTAACGATTTATCAGGAACGCAAACTCTGAATTCAAGACAGCGGAGTTCGTGTAAATCTCAATTGCAGAACCTGCATGGTTTACGAAGCCTAACAGAGTCCTGCGCGTTTCTGTGTGACTGGGGTCTACAAAGAACCACCCACTTCACATTACACCCAAGACAGCGCTCAACCCCAATTCCAGAGATGTTCGACGTCCTTCTTATTCATGCAAGTATTGATAACGGGGGAAAGCCTTTTGTCGGGTCGACTGCAATACTTGGCGTGTCTTGCGAGCGGCGGTGGGTGGACTCAGGGGCTGGGCGGAAACCGAAACCTGGAATCAACGATAGAAGTCAGCACACCACATATTTCTCGACGATAAATAAAGCAAACTTAGATAATTGCACTGGGATTATGATAGAGTACCATTCATATTCATAGGAAGTCTCAGAAAAAAAAGCGCCGCGTTTGAAGATTCGATGCGTCTCAACCAAAAGCTCAACTTCAAGCGCTAGCCAGCATCTTGTGTACGAATCGGTTGGCTTCAGGCTTTGAAACAACGCCTGTTACCCATAATGACGATCATTTAGAGTCATTAGTGCCCTTGTTCATGGTCAGACCTTGGGGTGTGGGATTTGTGAGCAGTACCAACCTACCCCTTTGAATCTAGCACTTGAGTGCGAGCACCTAGCCACTCCGAAATACATCAAATTACTGTTGAAGTATATGGAGAGTCAAAGCCATAGTACTTAGGCGCGTAGCTGCTGCTTGTGGTGGAAGAGGATATGGCTGTCGGTCCCTGCGCTGCGCGTTACCCCTGAACGACCCTTCAGTCACTACAGGACCAGCACGCTTGGCTCAGCTGCGAAGGGCTACTAAAGACTGGCTGAAGAAGCTCAAAAGAGTTTGGAAAGCGTGATTGAAGACCAAGGATTCGAAGGCTGAGCATTTCGGATCATCTGGCGGCAGCTCTTCAGGTGCTTTGTTTGCAGTGTCGTGATCAATCTCTGGGCAAGGGAAGGAGAGCCAGACAGAAGGAAGCAGTCCAAAGCTTCTGAAGATATCCTTGTATGTATCTGAAGGTTTGAGGAACCGAGCTGTCAGTATGATACCTTCTCCCGTGTCTTCATGGACTTGCCTTCTCATAAACCATATAGGGGCTCAACACAAGCGAGACACTGACGAACCAAACCCCCGGCGGCCTTTTGTCTCGATACTCTTGCGGTCACAGAAAGGTCATCAGGAAAGCATAGGAACGTCCTGTTTCACTCTCTTTGCTTCCTGAAGGGCTGAGCTGCCCGTCTGGCCCAAGAGCGTCGCCCCTCCTGGACACATTCGCCCTTGATGCTACATCACCAATACCTGTGGTGGTAGGGGCAAGGATGGTCAAGTACTCGTGATGGTGTTGCTCGCTGTTTGATGTATGGTTGAGGAAGCGGTGCCGCTGACGTTGCTGTTTGATCTTTCGTTGGATGTCGTCTTTTGTACCGTCTCACATGTATCCTTATGATTATCTGCATCTATTGAGACGTTTAGTCCGAGTAAGAAGCTTAGGAAATTAGCAAGGTCTGTCTTGAGCGTACCTGGGATGTTGTGTCTTCCGTAGAGGGCTCTTGAAATGCGACATGCACCAATATTGGGACACAAGCCACGGCCGTCACTACCAAACATGAATTTCATCATGTGAAAGAAGGACAGAAGCAAAGTGAAACCTATAGTCGTCGTAATGGACAAGCTTGGCTGGTTGGAAAAGGCCAGGTATCGTTGATTGTTACAAGTATCAAAGGAATACCGGAAATCAAGGATCGTGACCCAAAGACTGGGGCAAACACTTTGATATTAGACAAAGAACGCAATCCCTGAATAGCATCAAATTAACTAACAGGAGGGCTAAATGGAATATTATAGGGGTCCTGTACTGGAAATGGCGTACGGGTTGCATGGAATTAGTGGAGGGGCAGTTCTGGCAGCGAGTCCCAGGGGCCCAACGTTGTGAATGACCTCGCTCGCACCGCCAGACACTCGACAACCGAAACACCAACACAACGTATCTACAATGCAAATATAACTTTTTAGTATACAGTATAGGTCAGAGAACGAGCGAGGATAGTTCATTTCAGAAGTGCACGCATGTTGGATGCATCATCGGTGAGTAACAGGCGAGCATATCTAAATGTAGTATACGGATCACCATCACGAAAGGCTTCAACACCACGGCGATATCATGATCAATAGAGAGATACAGTCTCAATGGATGCATCAAGGTAATCAGTCAAAGCTTCGGAGTCACGAGCGGGGTAGGGAGGCCCAAAGACCGATCATCGGCCTCAACCTGGAAGTTCAACATCGTGATATCACGAGACCTCACGAGACGAAGCACACAACTTGAACGCACAGATATTAATTCGAAGAAGAAGAACGAAATTAGTTATGCAGGAATGGCCTCGTGAATCAAGGAGAGGAGAGAAGCCGTTGCCGGGGTAGCAAGAGGTTGAGACGCGTTAGTCGTTGAGATTCAGGGACCGAGCCGTATATATATCAGATGCGATAGGGGGCTAGATGAGTTTACTAGGGGAAATACACTGTTGATATGTCTCTATTCCACGTGGGTTCCATCTGCTGAGTCCCTGTCAACCAATAAGTTCGCTAACTACGTCCCTACAACTTGGGCCCCTGAGGCTAGCTTCTCCTCTAACTTGGCCTACAACCCACCCGTCTGCTCCTGCCATTATTCCTACCCGCACCCGCCTATTCTCAACTTGCCCTGAGGCAGCCCCACTCACGCATTACCCTCCTACCCAAGTCGCTCCCAACTTTCCTTCCCCTCCTCCCTCTCTTCCTTTCTTCTTCACCCACCTCAACATCATTCCGGCTTCACTATCCAACTTGGATGTGGAACAGGATCTTTGGGTTTTGATCTCGGTCGCATTTCTTCTTTTCTTTCAGCTTCTTGAGAAGCACGTATACAAGTCAAACTTCAGATTTCATCTACTCATCATTTTGTTGTGACATCTTGTCTTCCTCCATCGACAACATGTCTTCTTCTCACGTAGGCCATCGTGTCTACGCAAACATGTCTTCTCCTGCTGAGGGAGCTATTGACTCGATTCAGGGTACTCCCAACACCCAGATCACAGTCTTCTCTCCTTCCGAGAGCTCTCAGGGAACCTCCATCCACGGCAGCAACTATCTTGGCCAAAGCCAGGCTCCTGACGACCCCTTCGTTGATGGTGGCCTTGCTCAAGGTAGCACGCTCTCGGCTACTGCATCCTCCTTTCAACCCAGTGTTCATCGGTACAAGGGGAAGAACGCACTTGTATTTTACCCAGAGGGCAGCCCAACTGTTGCTGGCGCGCTTAGCCAGGACATGGACATTTCTCATCGCATTGAAGTCTGTGATACACCGACACCTTCGATTGTCGATCTTGGGAATTTCATCACCGTAAGTATTATTTGTTATCTAGGGAAATGCAAAATGTACTGACAAGCTTACAGGAGCTCACCCAAAAGGGTGTGAAATTCCACGGCGGTCGGAACCTTGAAACCTCTGGAGACCACGTGTACGTGGTCTTCGAAGATCTTCGAGATGCCGCCTGGGCCTTCTATGCCATCCGCAAGGCTCCTAAGGGCTGGTTCACGGCGTACGTGAAGATCCGACCTGAGCGCGTAAGTTTCTCTCTTCATCTCATCTCTTCATTCTTCTGCTAACTATATTTTACAGCTGGACCTTGGCCTTGTACGATTCTCCGAGCTTAGACAGCTCAGCATCGAGGTCAACGTCCTCAACTTCGCTATCATCGATCCCGCCCATGTCGATGAGATTGCTCAGAGAGCCCTTAATGTCTACGGTCAGCTTTTTGCGCTGATTAGACATTTGAGCTTCCCCAACGGAGCCTTCCGCGGTATCGCGCAGTTCTGCAAGGCTGCCGACGCTTTCATCGCCTACAAGGCTTTTGGGAATGGCATTACCACCGGCGTAAGTATTTTCTTTTACAATTTTCTCTTACTTCTCATCATTTAATCTTCCTCATCTCTCTCTTCATCATGCATCATCCATTTCCCATTTATTTTCACTGCTTTGTCTTTCGCGAATTCTCTCGGTGTCGTGTTTTCTAACTTGAGCAGGGCGTGGTCATCACCCTGTCCAAGCCAGAGGACGTTGGCGGTGCAATTTCTCCCGAGGATCAACTCGCCGGCAGCATGGGTAACATGACAATTCAGCAAGGTCCCCGCGGTGCTGAAAGAGGTCGCTACCAGTCATTCTTCGCAATGAACGCCCCGCAGGGGAACCCCTTTGCGGCAGCTGGCGCTGCCAACATGCCCTTTCCTCCTAACCTTCAGCAGCAGCCCTTTACTGGGCAGCACTTCGGGCCTGTTGCTTCCAGCAACCTCTCTGCCGTTGCATTTGGCAATCCCAACGGGTTCGGACGATTTGACCCCCGCCGAGGTGCGGGTCGCTATGGTCGGGGATCCCGAGGGTTGAACAACATCGTCGACCTCGGCGAGCTCATCGCCGGGCGTGATGTGCGCACGACGGTAAGTCCTACCACCCTCTCTTGCATCACTATCAGCCCTAATATCTCAATAGATCATGCTTCGGAATATTCCGAACAAGGTGGACCAGCCTCTCCTAAAGAAGATTGTCGATGTTTCCTCCTTCGGTCGCTATGACTTTATGTACTTGCGAATTGACTTTGCCAACGATTGCAAGTAAGTACAAACCCCAGCAATACCTGACTCCAATACTAACCATTCTCTAGCGTCGGCTATGCGTTCATCAACTTCGTCAAAGCCGAGTACATCATCGACGTTAGTCACCGTTGAGAGTGTCCCCATCTTGTTGACATGCTAACTTCTGGGTAGTTCTTCCAGGCACGAGCCAACAAGCGCTGGAACTGCTTCCGCTCGGACAAGGTCGCTGAGATCTCCTATGCGAGTAAGCTTTCCATTCTCTCCTCTTGTGCCGCAGTCACTGACATACAGTAGCTATCCAGGGAAAGGACTGCCTTGTGCAGAAATTCCGGAACTCCTCTGTCATGCTTGAGGCGGAGCACTATCGACCAAAGGTCAGTTGCCGATGGCTTACTATTCACCCTCACCAACTAACAGATGCAGCTCTTCTACACTATCCACAGCGAAGACCCTAACCTCGTGGGTCAGGAGGAGCCTTTCCCTGGCCCTGATAACCAGTCTAAAATGAAGCGCTCAGTGGAGAACGCTGAGCATGTTGGTATGAAGCTCCTCACAATCAATCGCAATAACAGGGCACTGACATACTATAGGGCTGTTCACTCCTACTGCCGGCCAGTACTTCCGGGACGAGCAACGCCGCCGTCACTCCCAGTACGACCGTGGCACTCGTCTGGCCGAGCTGGAGGAGATCTCCTATGGGTCTGGTGTCATTCCGTACCACGGTCGCGGCCGTTACTAAGTCGGACATCATCTGAAGACTATTTTGATTTTTGATCGTTTTTTTTTCAAAAGTCATCTTGAGCTTTGGAGTGGTTGGGTCTCTTGAGATCTTGAGGTCTTGGGCATGGCCATAACTAAATTTTCGAAGACCTTTGAATGGTCTGACTATTCTGCAGGATCTCCTTTGGTACAATCTCCATTGGCCTTACGCCTAAGTAGCAGCAACTGGCAGCATCTTTGATGCACGTAGAAGCGCAGAATAGATTTCATCAGCCAAACCCTGGGATGTGCTTTGTGACGTTTACATTGCAGCAACAGTCACTGAACAAATGCCGGATCACGCTAGACACGGATGTTTAAGTTCAGCTGCAGTTTTATAACGCTTTTCGCTTATTGATTCTATTTAAGACGTAGCTAACAGTCAACAGTCATGGAGAAGATGGATTCTCGGGCAGAGCTGGTAATGGTTTTCGCGAATTGGTTGGTTGTGCGATTGAGCGACGCAACACGTTCGGCTTTGTGTCGTGGGAAGGGGGCGATAGATCAGATGACGAGGAAAAGCCCCCAGAAGATCTCGGCGTCGGAGGAGGTGAAAGCTGCTCGCATTCAACACGATCATGATGTATGTCGTCGGCAAAAGGCCCTCGATCCATTTCAGTAGCACCATCGTGTCCTCCTGATGTCGGAGAAAATTGGCCTCTCTGACGGGCTGCCAGTAACACTGCATCTTCTCCGTCGTATGCACCTCCGTGCATGGCTCGAACGCGAGCCGCCGAGGATGCAGCGTCGTAGGAAGCGAGACCAGCCTGATCTGAAAAGGGTGCGAGGTGATGTAGTGGCACACCTCGGGAGAAGATGACGAGGATCAGACATGACATGAGTAACACGGCTTGTACTATGGCCATGCGTTTCTGAAAGACTACCTCGTCGGCCAGGAGGTTGAGACGAGCGCTGAGAGCAACTATCTCTCGGTTGGACTGCTCACGCTGACTCTCCAGAGCCAGGACTGTTGACTGCCAGATCTGGTCGTACTGCTCACGAACGGAGCGCAGCTCGGCCAGGACGGTCTTGTTGAGGTTCTCGAGGAACAGTGTCGTTTTTGAGAGTTGCTTCTGTTCTGTGCGGTGCAGAGTTTCGGACATGTGGCGAGCTTGGTCCTCAACGTATTTGAGGGAGAGTGTGAGGTTGGTTTCAACGATTGTAAGGCGCTTGGAGATGGACTTGAAGAATCCTTCTTGCACAGTGGGCGAGGCCGGTGAGCCAGAGGCTGTTCCCGTGGAGCCCTTCTTGGCATTAACAGTATTGGCGGGGGAGGGCTTCTGAGTAGATGATGACGTTGGGGAAGATGATGTTGCGGTCGTCTTTGTGCCTGGTGCTGAAGTGGTGGAGTTTGAAGCGGATTCGACGCTGGAGGATGAGATGGATGATGGACTGGTTGGAGACACAGCGGGCGTAGCGCTTGGAGATGCAGTGATGGAAGACGATGAGGCCGTGGGCTCTTCACTTGCAGGGTGCTCTGATCGGGGAGTGTGCGGTGTTGAAGTCCCCTTTTGTGCCCTCTCGTCAGGGGAGTTGGTTTTGGGTGCAGCGCTGGTGACTTCAGCAGAGCTGCTGGGGTTTGAGATTGGCTGTGTAGTTTGATTTAGGGAGGCAGAGCAGAACAATGGCTCGAAAAGTAGTCGCGAAGCGGTATTGGCTTCACAGTATGGCATTGATCCCATCGAGCTCGGCTTGGCAGGCTCAGGAGGACTCTCGAGTTCTTGGGGTTTTGTCGGCTCTTCTCCTGAAGGGAGAGCTTGAGGAGTCACTTTAGCCTCCTCAGCCTCATTCGTATCATCGTTACGATCTTCGTTGAAAGCAGCGAAGAAGCGCGAGCCATGGATTCGAAGCAATGAAACGGGGCAGTAGTACTGTTTTCCGTAATGGGTGAGATAGTCGATGCGGACATATTTGGAGAAGATCTGAGCATTCTCGACCAAGAAGGGCTGAATAGCTCGTGAGTTCTCTGCCTGAAAGACACCGATCTGTTTCCACTCGTCCCTTTTGACTGGGTACCGGTCACTAACGCTGACAGTAAAAGTTTGGATCATACTAGAAAAGAACTCGAAGTTGGCGAGGACGACGGTATCGATGTAGACATCGTCGCTCAGTTCGACAATAAACCACTTCTCCTTGGCACTGCACTCGAAGAGTAGGTAAGAGTCTTTGTTCTCGACGAGAATTGCCTTTGCATTCCTTGCGCCGGGGCTCGTCTTGAGAATGGTGGCGCCGGCATCAAAGGACGAGTAAGAGAATCGTTCCTTGCAAGTCTTGCCAGCATCTTTGTTTCTATGGATTGCAACACCACGGCCATCCTTTCCTGATCCCTCGTTCTTAGCTTGTTGGAGATCCGAAGGACGCTCATTTTGCTCCCCGGTGTCATCCATGTAGCTTCCAAAGTTCAGGGATATCTCATCTTCCTCGCCGAGGCCGCCGTAGCCCATATCCGGGGGTGTCCTGTCGCGGGGCTTGGCGTTCCTGTGTAGGTTCTGAGGGTCCTGCCCTGTCTGTTTCAACATCATGGCCTTCCAGTCCTCAAAGGACATGAAAGGCTTTGCATCTCCATCTCCATCTGCAGCGGCATCTTCCGACTCGTGTTTGGCGGGAGTGGCGCTGGACGCTGATGGTTGGGGCTGGGATTGGGAAGGGGATTCGCTTTGTGTGTTGGGGGGTGGCGCATCGCTTTGTGTCGAGTCGGGGGCAGCGTCGGAGATGGAATTGGCATCTGAATGGGTTGCGCTCACAGAAGTGCTCGCCCAGGAGCTTGTGAGGCAAGCTTGGGGCAGCGTGTGGGTGATGTAGTTGATGGTTCGGGCATCGCAGGTCAAGTCGATTGGGTCGGGGATGACACTGGGTTCGTGGGACTGGGCCTCGGTCTGGGCTTGTGTCCAGGCTGCGATAAGTGCCAGGGATCGTAGAAGGGCTGAGCCTAGCGAAGGCATCGTGACCTCGAGTGTCGGCGGCACATTGAAGCGTCGCTGAGGTCGAATTGACGGAGTTGACGTTGAATTATGGATGGGGGTTGGGATTGTGTCCTGTCGTTGATCAGCGTTGGACTAGACACGAAGTGGGTGTAGCGTATCCCGTACCTTACCCCGTAGCCCAAGGCTCGTTTAACTTCAGCGTGGCCCACTGACGTCGTCAGATGCTGATTGGTGCACCAACAGTAAAGTGTGTCTGTTGATTGATTAGATCCATTTCTTAGATCGAGGTAAAAATAGAAATTGGGCGTTGATGACTTACACGCGGAAACAAACACTCGTTCACTATGACCTCTATAACCGATAAAAGACTTGAAATTGGGGGCCTGGATAAAGATGTGACCCGTTGTGTTGTTGATGACGATGATAAGTATGAAACAGGATAGATTGGCATCAAGCGAAGGAGATTTGAGAAGAGAGGTACCAAGCTAGTGGCCATTCAGCCTTCCTAAACTGTGTCATTGTTGATGCCAGGCCCAAAACTTCAGGCTAAGAGATGCAGGAGCCTACCTGCCTAAGTACCTAAGGTAGTAGAGGCATCTGTAGGACATGGGAGTTCTTTCGCTATATGGGCTCTGTGCTGTAGGGAAATGGCTTGGGGGAATAGCAAGCCAATAACTTCAGATGACTTGATTTCAGTGTGGTTTTAGGCTCAGTATAATTACACAGATTCTGTTTTCTAGGTAGTGTTTGATGAACTCAGATTGAGACAGTGACTCTCCTTAGGGTAGGTAGATAGAATGGCGATGTGATTGATATCCATGTAATTGCATTTGCGTGATTCCAACAAAACAGGTTGCTTTAGAGCAACTTGTTGGGTGAATAAGTTGTTTTAGATTGTTATCATAATGCAATCAGGAAGTCTCTGTATGAACTTGCATTCATTCGAGTCACAGTTTGCTGTTTGCACAGATGCCTACATCCTCTATCAGTAACCCTTGACGATTGTGGTCGATCTTTTATTTCAGTTTCCATGGATGGGAAGGATTTTGCTTGAAATTCAATCCAACACTGAAAACGCAACAGCAACCAGCCTGACCGAAACTCGAATATTCTGTTCGCTAGCATTACGTAATGTTGCCATTTACTGTCGTCTGCCCCATTTCTGGGCCGCTGCATGCGTTTTGCTTTCGAGGGGGGTAAAGGTACTGGCGTGTCAATCTAGATCCCGGCCACGCTGCCATTGAAAGCCGACGAGCAAGTTGCTATTACTTCATCGTGAGTAATGAAATAAGAGAATGAGTGTAAACTACTGACCAGTGTTTCCTCAGAAGAGACTTTTCTTTCCTCTCCTCCACGTTCTCGCGCGCGATCCGTGTCGTATCGTGATTCGGCATGAGAAACAAACCTGTAGTACCTTTCGACAGCAGCAGATACGCAACTGTCGGCTCATCGGTATTGGCTTCAAGATGGAAACATGGCAAAGAAATTCTCGACAAGATGTTACATGAAGAATCAAAATCAAAATCAGCAAAGACCGCCCCAAGGAACCCTCTAACCGACGGAAATCTCCAAGATCGAGAGCTCAGGCTCCTGCTTTCCAACCAATTCAGACTTGCCATTGCTTGAAGTCGACAATCATGACAGTTGTACATGCGAGCGGGATCATTTCATCTTGAGCAATTCATATCCGGACCCCAAACGCTTACGGACGATGGAACATTACTCAATGTTGGGCAGTTGTCTGATCTAGCCACGCCGCAGTGTTGCGTGTGACAATTTGGCCTGCCGAGAACAAAGTACCAGAGGCAATTCCATCCTTATTTCTTGTTACTTTCAAATGGCCACGAGGCCTTGATGAGAAACTCCTAGCCAATGGAGGGATAGGAATTGCCTTGGAAGCATGCACAAATGAAGCACCTCTGGCCAAAGGCAATAGTCAACTGACCATGATCCGATATTCTAAAGCGGCGTTTAATTAGCTTGGGCTTGCCAAGAAGGCTCTGGCCTTGTCAAATCGCGCCTTTGTCGCAGCCTAAGCTCACCAAGGACAGCAATGCGATACTTGGTCGAGAAACCCCTGGTTTTTAATGCTCGGCATACACGATATATGCAGGCTAAGAAGAATCCAAAATCCTGTCGATCCACAGCCTTACCTACCAGCTACTTATGCGCGCCTTTGAATCAGTATGGGTCCTCAAGAGTTTGAACTCAGGTCGGTGGTTACTCTCACCAATGATTCAGATGGTGAGCCTCATCGACCACGGCATTCTTCAAGCTTAGCAAAAGCCAAACAGGTCATTCGCCACTCCAAATGCTCACTATGAACTTTTGGCTTCTATCTCCTGATTCTGGTCCTACCGTGGATACTCACCTGTGTTTTAATGGTCAGGCCCATCAACAAGGAATCATACTTCAACCAAGCGGGATCAATAACCCCCAGAGACGTGAATAGTTGGCATAGATCTCGCGTTTCTCTCAGTTATCTCACTGCACTCTCAAGTGTTATTGGACTCCCAATGGTTTCTGGCCTCCTTGTCCATGGAGCGGTTGTCTACACCCAGCGTCGAAACCTAGGTCAGAAATTGAGCGTTTTGCAGCTATTTGCGCTGGCAGATAGAGAATGGCTAGACCCTCGGTATCTATTCAAGCCTCCAAGCTAGTTTAAGAGCACGGAAAGGTCGCTTTACCTCTGGCTAGCGACTTTTCTCATCCTGATCAGTAAGTCCAGAAACACACCCTGACCCTGTATAATATACCCCTTATACTGACCGCTTCTGAACAGTTGCTTCCAACCATCTATACAAGCCATTTTAGTCCAAGACGAAGAGATTAACGTTTTGGCGTGTATGGGGCATCCCGTGGCGCACAGCAATCACAGATCGAGAGCTTGCAGATTTCCTTCCAGGGATTTAAATACCCAGATCGTGCGCGAGACGCAGAGCCCATCGATCCGATCTAAACTTCTGCCCACAACACTTTATCGTCAAGAAGACCAGCCAGAAACTCCTCAGCTCCCCCAACAGCGATATTCAACCCAATTTGCGGTCTGATGAGGCTTCTCTTGGAAAAGACCCAAACTACTATACTGACAATAGGCGGGCTTTTGACTGGTGTTACCTGGAGTCATCATACGACAAGGGCAAACGGCCATATTATTCGTCTTCCGTCCCGAATGGCACCGCCACCGGCGTCTATCGACATCACGCGGCCAGGATGGACTCTACAGCAAGTTGCTACATATCCAAAAACTTCCCCAAGGAGTGCAAAGGAGACAAACCATTCGCGCCATCTGTCTCCGAGGGTTGGCTGAATGTCGATATTTGTGCCGAGGGAAGGGAAGTTATGATACTGTAGCTTGGAACACAAGTCGAATCAAACAAGGGTACAAGGAGACTTTGTGGCTCCCTATGAAATGGGATATTCCTGAAGGTCAAGACAGCTCTGGACAATTTCTCAATGATGATAGCTATGTCCTCAGATGCGACAGTGTCTCAAGAAGAGGGTGGTTTCAGCTCACAAAAAACGCAAACGGAGAAAGTCCTGGTCCCTTACGTGACAATTGGCCTTCGTGGAGAGAGCTCAAGGATGAGTTCAATGATTATTACATCAAGAGCCCTCATTGGGAGAGCAAATTTTCAGGTCACATGTATCCAGCAGCAGAGTATGCACCCCTTCCAGTCATAATATCTTTTTGACAGCCCCTGGCTAACAACTTATCACTGACTAGAATCCAGGATGAAGAACTGCGAAATTATCGTGATCAATCGAGCTACACCTAGCAGGGACCCGATGTGCCTGGCCCCCTCATGACGGTGGCTCTGGCTATGTTTGGAAATTCGTCATTCTTTCAAGCAGCTAGGGATGCTGATCGTGGCACTTACAACTAAGCCATCAACAGCATCTGTGAGAACTCTTTGTTTCCAATGCTTGGGATGATGCCGCGTGATTATAATTTGGGCTGGTACAGTCCATCTGTAAGAAATCGGAAGCATAGTCTGAAAATGCAGGACGTGATTTACTATTATTTCAATGGCCTCAAGCACGAAGAGGTCACCGCACAAGCACTCGAAAAGGCCATGTTCTTTGCAAACGAAGCCCTTCTCACCACCGCCGCCTCGCTATCCCAGAAGCGCACCATCTTCTATAGCCCGGGAACTGCAGTCATGAAGCCGAAAAAGGATTTAGCAGCGGTGATATCTGTTACTGCACTGATATTTCTTCAAGTGATGGCTCTTTGTGCTCTGATGTGGTTCATTCTGCGTGCCCCTACGTGGACGCAGACTCTTGATGCAGATGCTTTGGCGCAGATCGGAGGTCAACTGAAGGAATGGGGAGAGCGCAGACCGAATCTAAGGCGGATAAATGGTGTTGTGAGAGTTGATGAGATTCTACACCAGGCCGAGACGTCATTGGTGAGACTGCCATCAGCACAGGATGGTGCCTCGCAGCCAGGGTCTGTACATTTGACCCTTGGTGGGGAGGGACTGATCAACAGAGGTGTGATGAAAAGGATGCCAGCAGATATAACTACTGCAGTCCAAGCGTGATGAACCTGTTTGGCAAGTAAGTTTGAAGTGACTTTGATGTCGGGACTCCTTTTCGGAAACTCTCCGTTCTTCCTACTATCAATCGATTTAATATTACCATGTGCGGTTGGCATTTGAGAAATCTGATACGCCCAGCCACTACAGAGCTCTGTGTATCATATGATGAGGGTAATCACCAGAGCAGTAGACTGCATATACCGAAGCAGGGAAATTAAAGGGGAGGCACTTGGTTTGGCACATGGACCCTAGGCTGGAGCCCGGCCTCAGAGAGCAAGAAGACTTCCGATGTTGAATCAAGGTGTTAGAATAGACTGGCCTACAGCACTATATCCTAAACCCAACCAAATTCTTTCATAACTTGAAAAAGAGATTTTGAGTCTTCTTGCTTCCTGGTCCCTGCTAGATCCCGGGGTCAAGAAGATGCAGACTTATCTCGTCTGATATCTCGTTACTTTCTCAATTTAGATACAAAAAGGGAAGTATCACCCTCTCCTCGATGCATCGTGGCTTTTCTCTCTAAATTGAAGAGAATAACCCTAGGTCGTAGATTTTGACCGAAAAGAGGCTGCCTTGTTCGGGGTTCATATCGAGAGCTCGATTATAACTCTTTGATTTCGGGGGCCGGAGGCTCTGTGAGGGTATTTTCGTGTAACTGTGACGTCAGGGGTACTATTTATGATCCTAGGAAGAAGAACAATAAGTCAGTCATGTAGATAGATAACGAGGAAAGGGGTATATAAAGATGCTACCGTCGGGTGTCGTATGCCGTATGCTGTACTTGATCTCCTTTCCTGTTCGTCGTTGGCAAGCCATCTCAGGTCTTTTAGGCGCTGATATACTTGTATTGAGAAGATCTGGAATGAAAACGAGAAACCGAGAGCCACCGGATAGTTTGTCACCAAGGGGGAAACACAAACCTTTCAGTTAACTAGGCCGAGAAATTACAGAAGCATCTCCAACTCTTAATGTTTGATGGTAGGCAATGGCTTAGTCGGCCATGAAGTAATACTTTGATCCGTTGCGCAGTTCCCAAGAAGCGATGGCTAGAGTCACTGTCCTCGGCATCGTCGGTAGGCGCAACTCACTTTGATTTTTAGCAAAAGAGAAAGGGTCTTGAAGCTTTCTTAGATACTCAAAGAGATCTCCTGGTCAATTACTGAGCTTCGACGAGCTGTTACGGCGGCCTGCAGTGCTGGGAGTGATAAGGGAGTCCGATATCGCTGACGACTCATGAGTTCGGACGAATCTTGCGCTCCAAGACATGGCAACTTTGTATCAACAACAAACGAGTAGAGTACAAAGTTTCTCAGCAAACCCGTGAGATATATTTCAACTGCCGCAATAAGTGAGTGATCTGTTCATATGGCTGTTCTTCACAGACACTTACATAAATCAATAACTCAGGTTGGTAACATGGCCCAGTCATGTAGCGACATGCCTCAAGAATGACGCCGAAGGAAAATGTGTCCGCGCAAAGAATTCTTCTCATTACTACGGACAACTCTTGACTCCAGCCACTCTCTGTCTCATTATCCAGAGTTCGACCCAGGCCCGGAAAGACAAGGACTGCTCCAACCTGCGATACGTGCCAAGAAAGGACATTCATTTGCCCCCAGTCAATATTCAAACCTGTCATATTCTCAAATGCAACTCAAACGAGATATCCACAAGGCTCCCGATACCTTGAGGCGAGTTACCTGAAGCATTATTACCTAGGTATTTCAATACCGTTCCTCGGACGGATGCCAAGATGGCCTGCGCGAGTACACGACTTTAGACAAGCGTATCACAGCCAAGATTTTACTCGAGCCGAACATGACATTGACAAATTATCAGACGAACAACGATCCTTGCGTGATATTTTGTGCCTCCTAGGAAGACCCAATTGTCAAAAGTCCCTCTCAGTCTCGATCAATCCATCACTCCGAACCTTGATAGGCCACAACAGCTTCGTTGAACTCTTGAGATTCAGACGATCTCAACATGACGTGATATCAACGGCTGTCTACCCTATGTCAACTTCAATACTCAGCCCAACTTTTCGGCAGTTCATCTAAGCAATCCCAACTCGCCATCTGGTTCTCCGATTCGTTCAAGTCCAAAGTCAAGGATCGGCAATGACAGTTTCCCGTCATCCGTCCGACCATGGTTCTGAAAGTGTTTCAGGGAATTATAGCCAATGGGCAATTGACAATCTTTCGGTGATGGCTCTTCCGTCACAGACCTGAGACGATTGTTCATCTAGCCGTGTTAATGCCTGCTGACTGATTGACAGGCTGAGACGCCAACCATCAACGCTCTGACAGGGCATGCACCAGACCCCTGTCGATCGAAGAAGCATAAACCCAACCTTAACTTTTCAGAGTCGACATCTGAAACTCAGCCTTGGGCTTTATCAGATGTCTGCTATAGTTTCATCGGCTCAGAGACTTGCAGTCCCGAAGCTCTGACACTTTGCCCCCTGCAAGACTTGAGCGGATGAAAAAGAGCCCAGCTTGGCGTTGCAACTCCCGGGGACATGTTGCATTCTACCACGCCAGATCGATATCATGAAACGGTGTATTGCACTTTTGTACGGCATCGTCATAGGGCTAGCTCCGGCCTCTGGTGCTGCCGGTGACAAGGAGCACTTTCATGGCCACGGCTCTGGGGATGAAATGCATCCGATCAAGAAACAACGTTGAATCTCAGCTGACAATGTTTGCAAGCAGTTCATCTATAAAGATGGAGAAGAACTCCCGCTGAAATGATTCCATTCTTCATCTCACAATCATCAACCAGTCCATCCTTCCAAACACCAGTCATTTCCTAAAGAGGTGAGCCTTGAACGCTATTCCCGACTTCAAACATCAAGTTTACTAACACTGAACTCTCCAGCTGTGCTCTTGTCGGCTTTCATTCCTTCCACCGTTTCGCCTTTAGAGCTGCGCTCACATTACAACATTCATATACCCATTTGATATTTACTGTCCAACTCCAACATTCACTCACTCAAAAACAACCAAAACCAAAACCAAAACCATCTTCTCAATCCTTTCAAGATGAAGTTCTCCGCTCTCTTTGTTATCGCCTCTGCCGCGTTCGCTGTTGCCGCCCCCGGTGTTGCCACTTTCTCTCAAGAGCGCGCTGCTCTCAACGAGAGTGCCCCCAGCCGCGACCGCGAGGACGGCCGTGCTGATCTCCGCGAGCCAGGACGAGAGGCGGGCCGTGAAGGCGAGCGCAAAGATGACCAAGAGGACCGTGCTGGCCGTGGTCGCCAGGATGATCGTCTCAACCGCGGCGGCCTTGCCTTCAGCCAAGTCGATCTCAACTACCTCCTTCAGATCAACCAGCTCAACCTCGGCAAGCTCCAGGTCCTCAGCCAGCGAAACAACTTCAACGTCGTCGTCTTCCAAGATCTCTTTGCCTCTCGGGACTTCAGCCTCCAGTCTCTTCTCCAGCTCCAGCAGCTCTCTACCATGCTTGCTATTGCCGAGACTGGTATCTTTGACCAGTTTGAGCTGTCTCGATTGGACCTTGGCAACTTGAACCTTGGACTCATCAACGGCATTTCTGGCCTCAACTTGGCTCAGTTCATCGATGCTGCCCTGAGGCCCCAGATCACTATTATCTCTAAAGAGGGCAAGTGAACAAATCGAATTGACTGTTTTTAACAAGTGCTAACTCTTGCATAGTCAACAACAACATCATCATTGCCAAGTAAGGATGCCGGGAGTCTACTTGATGAGGGGGCAGGTACTCCTGAATACGGGGAGGCTTCGGGTCAAGCCATACCCTTCACGTGTAATGAACTATCATCTTCAGGAACGGATTAAGACTGGGCTCGCTTTCTCATGGTCACTGGATGGCTTGAAGGCGAGGGTTACTATATAATGAATGAATCTAATATTTCAATGATCTCAAGTCGCCTGGATATATCATGAGACCTTACGTCACTGGAGTGATGAGTGAACGTTTCCGGAAACCTCGGATACTCGTATAAATTACGACGCTTTTGTTAATAAGCGCAGTGATAGCATAATCATCGACTCCGAGTTGTCCGTTAAGCGAAAGATAGAGTTTGCAACGGCGTCGAAAAGTTCTACGGGTATACTATCCACCAAGCAGAATACAGTATTTCGACTAGGATATCCTGGCACAGCGTCTTTCTAGAAGAAATTGCATACTATGCTCCCTTGTTAAGAGTTTCTACTGACAGTCTAACAGCCACGCTCGCCGGCAGTTGAGCATTGACTGGGGTTTACTAGCTCATCTCGTATTACAGCTCAGACCACCAATTAGAATATATAATGCCTCTATCAGCCCCTGAGTTACCACTGAGGAAACCAGCAATCGATTCAGAATGTTGTTCAAACAATTGCTCGCTTTCGGAGCTCTCGCCAATGGCCTGGCTACCCGTCAGGAGAAGCCAATCTGGCTGACACTCCCACAGACACCAGACCTACCAGCACCCATCACCCACAAAACAACTCCCATCAACCATGTTTCTCTGTGGATGCAGGAGTACAACAAGAAAGCAGATGCTATCCCTATTGTTATGGATCACGGCGGTCTAGGTTACTCTGCATACTTTGGATCCGTCATCTCTCGTCTGATCAAGCATGGATACTATGTCATTGCTGTTGATCGTCGAGGCCACGGCCGTTCAACTTTCAACAAGGACGATGTCTTTACTTACGAAGGATTCGCTCAAGATACGAATGATCTATTAAAGAGCCATGGTATTTCCGAGTACAACGTCGTTGGCTGGTCCGATGGTGCCATCACAACTCTCGCTGCACTCATGGACCCCGTCATGTCAGAGCCTATCAAGAAGGCCTTTATCTTTGGAGGATCAGCCAACCCCGAGCAGACCAACGCCACATTCTCAAGCACAGACATCTTCTCAGAATTTGTCTCTCGCTGTCGTACTGAGTACGCTGAACTACAGCCTCACGCCAACTTCACCCTCTTCGGCACCAAAGTTGCCACCATGGAGGCTACACTTCCTCAGTTCACGG